ATTTGGCTCGGAGGACGTCAAGCAAACATGCAGCAAATGACACTTTTATTTGCTTGCCATCACATCCCCTCCCCCAGCGACCTTCATTTACTGGGATCCACAGTGCCATTTCCAGCAGCCCCATGGCAACAGCAGGACTTGTCAACAGGGGTACAACTTTCTCATGATGTCACCGTGCCGTGAATGATTTGCAGCCCCTAGAAAGTTGATGAAACTCCTTGAACTGATATTTTCTTGCAAACACAAAACAACACAAGCTTTGGATTTATAGATATGAAGCTTCACTTTGAACTGGATAGAAGGAGCATATTTTGCATCAAGTTAATAAGAACACGGTCCTGCTCTCTTTCATTCAATGATGCGATACATTGTAACTGGAACATTATAGAAATATTCACAGACCTGAATGACAAAAGCCCATCCTGTCGCTACACCTACCCTGACTCAATCTTGCCTTTGAATGAGCGTGTTGTTGTGTGCTCTATACAACCTGTCATTCATCAGCACTTGCTTCTTTTCTAATTGTGATAATGTGACCTGCTCAGGCCCCATTGCTCTCAGGCCTGTCAGATGCATCGGTCAGAGAAGAAGATCTCCTGTTTGCACAGCCCAGTGAGCAACAGTTGCTTTGCCCTGTTGGTTGACTCCTCCTTGGTAACTGGGCCAACCCACTTTGACCTCTGACCGGGGCTGTGGCCTTTGGATAGGTGGAGAAAAAAATGGCTCCTGCCTAAATTCAGCCATTAAATTCTGGAGTAGACGGGGCCATGCCCTCTAGCCTCCAAAGGAAACACACATTTTAGGGCATTGTGGCATGACAAAGATCATCAGCCCATGGCGGTGCAAGTGCAGAGCGTGATAGATTGCGTAATTTAACATGTGACATTTGATGGATGTCCAAATGAGGGCTATAATAGGTTGTGTGAAGGATAGGTAGGAAGTGAACACTTAGATTTTCACACAGGAGCGGATGTGAGCTGTTTGCTCTGAGGACAGAATGATGGATCGATTCTGAATGGGGGACAACGGCACTAAAGAGGATCTAGGTGCATCCTCCCTGTGTTTAATATACAAACATTACTGTTTGTCCGGACAGCGAGACAGCTTCTAAGGCTAACACAATTCAAAGTAATATGTCAACAACACTGAACAAACCAAGAAATGAATGTGGCAAAAGTCACATTTAGCGAGGTAACAAATAAACATGTTTCCACCCTCATTGACTAATGCTCCACTGCTCCATTCGTGTCAAACAATCCCAATAACCATGCCAGAGTCCTTGGATCCAAGATTTCTACAAAATTGTGTAGCCACCCCTTCTTTTCTTTTTTGTTTTCAAGGAGCCACACTTTATTGTAATATTTTAAAGTGTGCTTAAGTTATAACAGTTCTTCAGGCTTGTAGTTTTTCATTGGTGATTAAATCCTTTTTCACTCATTTTCAAGCCAGTCCTTGTACCTGACTATTTGAAGCCACTTAACGTTGCTCCATGAAGTGTTTAAGAATAAAAAGGCACCACACTCAAAAGTCCAACCAGTGTTGTGTCTACATACAAAAGGCAACTTAGGAAAATTGCATTTTAAATGACTTTGTTGCTAACAGCCTGTTGCAAAACAATAAATTCTTCCCTAATTTTCAAACTTAATCTACAACTAATGATCATTTTTGTTTGTTTTTTTTTTTTTAATTTTTGCCCCCCCAAAAAGTGACTCCACCCAAAAATTGAAGAAACTGTAAAAGTGTCAGGCCTAAGAACTATCTGCAGTCGATGAACTATATCTGAAAATGATTTTCTTAAGAAATAGGAAAAAAAACTGAAGCATCAGATTCACAATGACTTCATTTTTCAAACTGAGAAATTACAAGAAAGCAAATAACAATACATGGCTGCTCGTATTTTCACATTTACAACATAAAGAATGGAGGGGTGACTTAAGACTTGTGAATAGCACTTTGGATGTTTAAGATATTTTCTTTCACACCAAGATTATGCCCTCCAAGTCATCTTGGCTTAGTTTTTTAATACACATTGTGTTGAAACATCTTATACTCTGTATTCCAGGTTACATGCCACAGGAGAGCAGAGGGATTTCATTAAAATCATTACTGGCTGTAAAACAGTGCGCCGAGTCCTGAGCCGTGGCAACAGTTAATAAGCAGACAAGTGTTGGCAACAGCTGAATGGTCAGCTGGGAAAAGAATGGCTGAGGCAAGGGAAAGTATAACTACAGGGGGTCATGCACTCACACTTGCATATGTGTGTAGCTGTTTCGCATAGTAGCTTAGCACAGGTGACTCCCACTGACCATTAATCACAGTCGGGGAACCTGTTGTGTTGCACAGCAGAACAGAAAAATAAGAACACAGAGTTACAGACCGAGAGGGGATGAAACACATATGTTTGTGGTCTCATTTATCAAGAGAAAGAAAGAAAAAAAGCATGTTTTTATTTTCCCCCTGCTTTGTTTTTGCCAACAATTTATCCCCACTGACTTTTTTTCAGACTGTTTCCTTCTCTTTTTCAGTCTCACTCTTTGGTATCTATTCCAGAAAACTGTGTTGAGGCTGTATGCAAAGGTGGCAGCACCGTCACGTCGAGTTTGCCCAGTCGCAGACTAAAGAGACGAGCGCTCTGTGGTGTGACATGCTGTGTAGATTTTGGGAGGATTATCACCGCTCCACTGTGGAATGTCTTACTGGGAGAAATCAGAGTGGATGGATGAGGCCACGGGAGCCCACTCTGCTAAAAATGTGAAGCTGGCTGAAGATTTCCATTTCTAGTTTTTGTCTGTAACTACAGCAAGGCCGAAATGTTAATCTTACTCTTCATTTTATCTTTAAATTGAATCGTTTTAACATATTTGTTCAATATTCAGGAGAAGACAGACCGAGGTTTCCATATATTAGAAGTTTGGTTTGATTCCCAGCTCCTCAAGTCAACATGTCAAAGTGGGTGATTGTGGCTCTGAGAGCTTTGAGTGGTCGAGCTAGACTAGAAGCATAAATGCAGTCTGCTTACCATTTTGTGTTGCTTTCTGTTTAAAATTAAAATCCTCATGAATCTCCTTTTATTGTGCAATCTATCTGCATGCAATTTTGTGAGTCTTATATTACTGCATTACTCTTTAAGTTAATTACAAGAACTGCTGATGCTCACCGTACTGTAAAGGATCACACTCTTTAGGGACCCATACTACTTACCTCTTATACAAGTAGTTGCAAATTTTAAAATCACTTGTATGCAGATAGCATCCAGCTGTTCTGCTCTTTCCCACCTAACCAGATTTCTAAACTTGCAGATCTAAAGACATATTAGACTGCCATCAAGTGTTGGTTAAAAGCTCATTTTCAACAATTACATTTCTGACTAAACAGTAGCTCAGATATTTAATCCCAAAGATCAAACAATACCTCAGATCTGCGAGATCTTCTGTAGATTAAAATTTTGTGTAACACTGGGGGTTATCTTGGACAGTTACCTGCCTTTAAGGCTTTTATGTCAGGAAGCTGACTTGATCTTTTCATCTCAGGGACACTGCTGAGGTAAGATGAAATGTTTCCAAGGTGGAATTGGAGAAATTGTTCATGCTCTTATCTTTTCCCGCTGAAATATTTGCAACTGTCTACTTAAATGTCTTGAAAAATCATCTTTAAATCAGGTTCAGTCTGTCTAAAATACAGCTAGGGATTTCATATCTCTCATATTTTGGAGTATCTTCACTCTGCCTCCTCTTAGCTTTGGAGTTCTTGTTTTAACTCTCAAAGCTTTGAATGGTTAAGACACCACAGACCCTCTCTGAACTTTTACTGACCTACTCTTCCAAGATGTTTGTTACGTCTTTGGAGCGTAGGTTACTGCTGGTGCCTTGTACTCATTTTACACTTAAGGCATTCTTTTTTGGCATTTGGGAAGTTTCATGTGTGTTCTTTAATATATGTTTTCCTTTTGTGTATTCTTTTAGGTGTCAAGCACCTTGTTACTTTGTCTGTAAAAGGTGCTTTATAAATGTACTAGAATTGCTTGTAGAGGTTTGCCAAAAGTTGGTCATGGTTGAGAAAATGTTCTCATTTCATAGTAAATTAGGCTTAAACAGGCAAAAACGCTGGTAGAGCAATGTTTTTACTCTATGTTTCATTGCTGAACACAGAAGGCTCGACTCGCTTCATTATGCTTTTTCAGTCCAATGTCGCCCCCTGCAGGTTCCTCTTAATGCAGCAGCTTTTGTCGGTGTCGTCGAGGTTGGGGTACATTCCCGTACTTATCACCATTAAGCCCGCAGTGATGGGCCGAGTTACATACAGCATTAAGCCACAAACCAAAGCCATAATAATAGTGCAGTGAGAGGACAGAAAGCAGGCTTTATGTTTAAAGTCTCTCTCCAGTCCCAGAGAGACTGCTCATATTTCCATCTGTGGTGAAATGCGGATTTATACTGTAGTCATAACAAAGCCTGAACAAGACTGACACTGCGTAATAAAAGGGTTGGATGATCATTTGTTCTGCAGACATAGCTGTCCACAAACTGATGGATTGCTTGACTGTCTAATGTAACAGTGTATAGCATGTATTCATACATCGAGGGATTACCTAACGACACACAGAAGTAAATATACAATAAGGAAGAGCTGCGTCTGCCTTTCTGATGAGGAAAACTGACAAAGACGAGGCATTGCGGGTTCCCCAAAGGCAGCACCGACCCCACGAAAGAGGGAAACTACTCTCCTTTCTGCTGAGTGTGACTTGGCCGAGTGTGTGCTTAAAAACTGTGTATCCACAAAGGTCGAGTTTTCAGTGAGAGCCGGGCGATATTTCATACCAAATTTAGAAAGAAAACAGTCAAAGGTATCAAGTTGAGTTCATGACGCCTGGGAAGAAATCCTGTAATAAAATAACAGTTGTTTGCCTGCGAGGGATCTGAGAGGTTGTTTATAATGGGTCTGTGAACACTGATGAACCTTGATGCTATTTGATGACCACAAAAAAAACAAGACAGAGGAGCCACGATTTCAGGATTTAATTACGCCAAATTACAAAGAAATAAAACACACGATGCTTTCATTTCTTGAGAAGTTGATGTACAGACTTATAGACAGATCTTTCCTCAGCATATGGAATATAAATAGTGTGGTGAATTTACAGATCAGCAATGGGCTTGTGTGGCCAATAAGGATGCTTTTCTTTGTCCAGCTTTGTTTCTGGGAATGTGTCATTCAGGTCTTCAATTGTCATCTGGTCAAATGGGATCATGTTCTTGAATTTTTCCAGCTGGGAAAGGAAGAAAAGATGATCAGGAAAAAGAAAAAAAAAAAAAACATGGCTTTAATAAACCCTACTAGGCCTTAAGTGGAAATGTCTCAGCAGACTTTTTTCTCCTTCAGAATAAAATGTGCTGCCAGTTTTCCAAGAACACCCAATATTCAGAAGCACTGGGTGCTACTGAATATCCACCTGAATCTGATAAATACAGAGTAAAGTGGTTGCCCCATGATCGGAAGGTCGGGGGTTCGAATCCACTGAATGGCTATTCTGAGGTACCCCTGAGCAAGGTACAGTCCCTACACACTGCTCTCCGGGCACATGCTCAGTGGCTGCCCACTGCTTCACTGAGTGAATGGGTCAAATGCAGAGAAAAAACAAGCAATTTCCCCACAGGGATCAATAAAGTATACATTATTATTATTATCACTGACTGTGGAAGAGTTGTTCTGGACTGCCAATTTATTTAATATTCCTCTGTCTCTGAATGTGTGCCAGCCTGAAATTAAACTGTGGCTGTCAGAGTTGGTGGAGACACGTATACATTAGGGGTGCAACGATATTCGTATCGATATTGAACCGTTCGATACAGTGCTTTCGGTTCGCATATGTATCGAACAATACAACATTTGTAATTTATTTTATCAACTTTCCTTCTGACGATGCTGTCTGTGTTGAGCGCTCAGTGAATCTGTGTTCGACTACTCCGCCTAGGCTGCACTGTCGAGCGCAGATCCACTGAGCGCTCAACACAGACAGCATAGTCAGAAGGAAGAGCGCAGGGCAAGCTAGCGAGACAGAAGTTAAGCTCTCCTTGCAACATGGACCTCCCCCACCCTCATTCAGATCTGGCGTTTGGAATTATTTTGGTTTTCATGTGACGTATGACCCTGAAGGTAAGCGAGTCATGGACTAAAGTAAAACAGTATGTTGGATGTGCCACTGCAATGCTCAATTACATGGGTGGGAACTAGTGTGTTAGCGCAGTTAGCTCGTTAACGTGTTGGCCGTCTAGCCCCATGCACGGAGCGATCGGCGGTAGCTCGTTAACGGAGATTTGCCGTGTTGTGGCGTTAAGGTCATTTCAACGAGATTAACCTGAAAGCACTAGTGGGAACACAACGAATATGACTGCACATTTACGCCGACATCATCCTAGTGCAAAGACAAAAACAACAAGCATGCTACTAACTTTAGCCGAGTCATTTAGACAGCTGTTAGCACATGATTCTCCTATATTTTTATGCTGCTGAGAATATAGCCCAGAAGAAGCGGATAGTATAGCTTTTATTTTGGAAAGAGACATTTCTCTGTAATAAACTCTCTTTTCCAAAGATGAGTGATTCCTCAATCAGATACAGGGCTTGCAATATCGCTAGCCCGACGTCCTGGGGCTAGCGATTTTTTCAGTCGGGCTACCAAAATCTATCTCTGCCCTGCCCGTCGGGCTATTGTAGGAAGGAAAAATATATGTCAATGCTTTTGCATTCTTTCAGAAATGTAGCTGGGTAATTATGTCATTGGCATCGGTGAGCCACTGTCAATATGTGACATATTGAAATCGCGTTTGAATTTGCGCTTGTTTTTTTGCTTTCACTTTGCAATCGTGCGAACTGTGTATAGAGAGCGACAGCACTGATCTGTGAGTGATGATAATTTGTGCACCAATTCCTCTGACATCGTCTTATTAATCGTTAGCTTACTATGCAAACATGACAAGTGAAATCTCCCGCAGCTTAAACATGTGAGAGGTTGATCGCGCAGAGAATCGCTGAGCTTATGTGAGTGCGTGTGTAAAAGCAGCAGATATATATTTCAGTTCTGCTGAGCCAAATAAGACAGGTCAGGGTGAAGAAGTGACAGCCAAAGAAAAGCTTACCACAAAACGGAGAAGTTATGACAAATCAGACTATAAGGCAAAAAGAAAGTGCAGCTTTATGGTTTCATGGACAAAAGAATTTCTGTGGCTGCAATATGACGAGCTAAATAACCAGGGCTGCACATAAGTGGTCCGCAGGTGCGCATTCGCTGTCAAAATAAAAAACACGCACAAGGGTTAGGGTTAAATTTAAAAACTGTACTTTTGAGTTAAAATATATATTTATAATTTTAATAAATGACAAATTAAAAATGCATGAAAATCTTTTTTGTATCGAAAAAATATCGAACCGAACCGTGAATTTTGTGTATCGTTGCACCCTTAGTATACATAATAATGTATACGTGTTTATATACATATACTTGTACTTCTGGGAGTATAAGTGTTGAGGAGGGAGCGGAGGCTGCCATTGCAACTTGGATAAATGCTATAATGATTACAGAGTATCTGAAGACTGCCCTTCGCCTCAAACAGGTGGAGCTCCAAACTGCCTTTTCTGCTAATTAATTCCGTGATGTTAACGCTGTGCGCCCCAGTGCACTTTTTCCAGCAGTCACCTGTTGTCTCGTGTGTGGCTATGATACTTTAACCTGATCTAACAGGTGCAAACGTTTTCTGGACCCCTGAGGCAAGTGAAAATCCCGTCATCGCTTCCTGTGTTTCTGCTCCAGCTCCTGACAAACTGCTGCCAAGTACTAACACCTAATGCAAAACCGAGTCAAGTAGATGCTAGCGGAAAATAGCATGATGTTTGAGCTTAAGGAAAGATGGTGTTGAAAAAGTTAAATGTCACTTAAGTTGTCCAAAAATAACAAATGAAAAGTATAAGGCTCACCTGTTTTTCATACTGAGCGATACGAGCCTTGGATCCTTCAATGTAGGCAGTGGCTGTTTTGTTCTGGAAGACAAGTAAACATTACAAGACTGGATAGTATTTTAATATAAATGGCTCACTACCTGCTCTAAACTAATACTGAAAAGACTCATTCATGTGCATGTTCATTATCCGTGATTATGTTGTGCTTGACTTTTTTTATTTTTTCAAAATTAAACTTTGGATTTTGTCCTTCTCAGCTTTATGTTCAGGATGGGACACACATTCTTACATCCACCATCTCCAAACAGAGGCACTCACCGCTTCCTCCTCCTGAGCATTTATAATTGCTGTCTGAGTGTCTACAGGCTCCGGGACCTTCAGGGCACTGAACTGTGGGACACATTAAATATAAGATTTATACATTCACGTAACTGGGAAAAAGGCCACAAGTACGCAAAATACACAAAGCACAGCTGCTAATTTTTCCCCCAGTATTTTTAAGCACTGGTTCAAATGTTTCTAAACCCTGTGAAAAACTGTAACTAAAGTGAATCTGGCTGCTGTTTTGGTTGAAACTTTAAAAAAATGCTGGAAAAAATGAGTGCAAATTAAAAAGCATGATTATTTTGCCAAAAGCCTGTAACTGGAAAATATCATTAATATTAATATGATGTTAACATTTTACATTTCTTCATTAAAGCTATTGTAGAGGCACTACGACACTGATTCTAAAAATGTTGGGACACTGTGTAAAATGTAAACAAGAACAGAACTCAAATCATATTTCATTTGCAATTCGTTGCTAATAAAACATCTCATTTTGTAACTAATTAGGTTAATTGGCAACAGGGCAGTTGCATGCTTGGTTATATAAAAAGCAGCTTAGATAGGCAGAATCTCAAAAGGAAAGGTGGGCAGAGGTTCACCCATCAACAGACTTTTATTAAAAGTGGTAGATTTTTCATATTTGATAGGTTTCAAACACGTTTCTAGGTTTTACTATGAATAAAATAAAAAAAGGAGCTTATAAAATTTACAAATCATTGCATTCTATGTTTATTTGCATGTTGCGTGGGTGCCAACTTCTTTTGAATCAGTACATTTAGTGCAGGCTTACCTTCTTTTCAAACTCATCCACCATGCCTGCTTTAGCCACAACAGATCTGTAGTAGCTCCAGTCAATAGCAGGAGGTTTCTCGGGTAGAGAGGTGAGCCTGTGAACACACAACAGCTAACTTACTGTCATCACAAGACACGTAAAAAGGCAAGACATGACAGAAGAGCCCTTCTTGACAAAATCTGCATACTTTCACAGGTGTATTCTGGGCATACTCATGATGCAATGCCAATAACAGATGCAGAGGTCGTCTAAATAAAGTTAATTGCAGTTAACTAAATACTAAGAAATAATACCAAACATGTATGACACGGGTGGCAAGAATAGCATGTTGGTGACTTCACATCAGGCTATTTTATGGGTGCAATGCGCCTTTGTAAAATGCTGGAAGAGGGTTTGAAGACTGAATACACACTTGGCAGCAATGGCATCACTTCGCGTCTTCAGGTTGTTGAACATGGTCCTCTGGTTGGGCGGCACCCTCTCTGCGAAAGCCGCCCAGTCAATGGCCTTCAGTGCAGCTCGTCTCCCAGCCATGTTTGGGAATGTGTGAGCTGAAGAGGACAACAAGACCGGAGACCGGTGTTTCAGATTAACTGGTGTTGGTCAAACAGAACGCAGGGACTGAAGCTGTCACAATTTCAGCTTTAAATTTGGATTCCTGTGCTGGTTGTTTTTAATGCAATACTTCAGTCATCAGAAAGACACTAAACAAAATCTGAAAACAAATAAAAGTATTCCATAAAAAGGTTATACTGGTTTTCATAAGAAACATATTTACATTTGCTTGACTCATTTAAACATTCTTCTCCTGAAAGTGAAACTCCTACAAATACCTCTGTTCCCAACTTTCAGGTGACAAACTTATACTGAGGCCATTTAGTAAATCCAGCAGCTTTTTAACGTCAAAAGAAGGCTCTGCGCTGCTGCAGACATTAGTAAATCTGACCCTAAACGTTCTTCCATCTTTAAAATGCCAGCCTTTGTAATAAGGGATATTTTTTCACAGGCTTTTCTCATTTAAATCACCTCATAAAACAACAGGGTTGGAACGCAGTGTGGCGTTTTGTAGTCCATCTTCAACTCGGCGGACATCCGGAGTCACATCGTTAAGGAGAGACAAGTGTAAGGCTGTTCTCTTTTCCTAAATCCTGAGAAATTCTCCTATCCACTTTTCCTTGTAAGAGTTTAGGAAAAGAGATTAGGACTAGGATACAGGAGGTACTTTTGGAAAGCATTCCAGGTGTAGTTGTGTCACAGGTTAACCGAGTTTACTGTCACAATGACAGCGTAACATGGGCTGACATCCAATCTGGGTGCAGATACGTGTATGTGTAATTGTATGGTGTAGTTGCAGTGATGATCGATCTCACATCAAAGAAAGCGTTCGGGAATATTTAAAATATCCTGGTATGTTTAAAACACATTGAGCTGGTCATTGTCTAAAAATGGAGAATGAGCACTGATCATACAGCTGCCCACGTTAGACTGACTGGGTGAACAGCACCATGCAGGGAAACCCGAAAGTCGGTGGAGCTTATGGGTGATGTCATAGGGAAAATATCGGCTTGTGATTTATGTTACAGAAACACAAAGGTGCGCGACCGGACAGAAGGCTTTTTAATATTTATTTATTTGTTTTTAATTAAAATAATGTAATCGTTGTCTGAAGATAATTTTCATACTGATTATCACCTTACAATCAATAACGATGCTGCTTTAACTTTCTGGGTAAAATATTGCTCAGTGAGAGCCATTAAAGGGTTGTTTTTCTTAACAGATTGGTTTTTTTTTATTTATTATTGTTGTTCTTATTAAAATGTCCCATCCGCACACTTATGTTATACAGCTAACGCAATGTGCCTTCAGTCTAATGAACTTAAAACGTAGCTAAACATTAGCAGCATAAGCATCCCGAGGTTAGCACGTAGTAAACACAGTTTATACGTTGCTGTCGTTTTATTTTTTCTAACATTTTGTGAACAACTTTGAAAAAGATGTCCAAGATTAGACTCTGGCGATTAGTTTTAAGGTTTGTTTTGATAAATCTGAACTTCATGTACATACCAACTCCGCAGGGACAGACCGCCGACAGGAAGCGGAAGACTGTCTTCTTCTTCTACATATATATTGGCGGTTGGCAAACAACTGAAAGGTGCATTACCGCCACCAACTGGTATGGAGTGTGGTCTGGAACATCACTCAAAAAACCCTAAAAAACCCAAACAAACAAAGCCCATCATTAATCCTTTTCCCTATTTCCACCATAAACTCTGGGACCACAACTGCTACACCAGTTTCTCTCCACATCATATTGTAAGCTTTTTCTTTGTCAAAAAACACTGCAACTACATTCTCTTTATTTATTTCTGCTGAGTTCATGTTCCAAACACAATAACGGATCCATTGCATTTCTCCCTCTTCTGAACCCACTTTGATGTTTAGATATATAGCCTTTACTTTCTATATAGTATATTAATCTTTCATTTATCATTCGTTCCATTACTTTGCAGACATTTGATGTTAAAGCGATAGGCCTGTAAATTTCCTGGGTGGACACCACCACAGCCTCCTTCCAGCTTTGTGGCAGTTTTCCACCCTCCCAAACTCTGTTATACAACTCTAACAAAAGATCTTTAGCTGACTCACTGAGTTGGTTTAACATGATATAGCATACCTGATCTATTCCTGGTGCTGATAATTTAGATTTCTAGAGTACTCGATGTAGTTCTGTCTTTGTAAAAGGAATATTTAATGAATCATCTGTATCCTCTACCAGTTCCAATAAGTCTCCATTCTCTGTAATTGTCATTTCTCTTCCTCATCGCCCTTCCTTACTAACATTGCCTGAACTGTGGATGTTAACAAAAGTTTTTGCCAACACATTTGCCTTTTTCTCATCTCATGTTACTACTCCATCCCTCAAGATTGGATAACGATACTCCCTTTTCATACCATTCATCCTTCTAATCATTGACCAAACATTCTGTATTTTTGTCTCCCTCGGGAACACAAGCCGACAATCAAAATTTGGGTGAATATGCTTTTATTTTGTCTTTGGTTTCATGAGCCTGTGGTGCATCATGCACACAGTTAACACTTAATATGAATGAAATCAAAGATTGCAATCCTGAATGCACTGAAATTAACCACTGACATTCACTTGGAAATGATTAACCCTGAATATACACGCACGGCAGCCAGTGAGGGTGAGTGGAAGTTAAAGATTACACATGAACTAATAAAATCCAGAGCAAACCAGCAGTCAGCAATATTTATTTACAAGACCCAGCATTTTGCAACCTAGATGTATTTTCACTCTACTTAGATCCAGCTGTCAGTCAGCAGCTTGAGTCCAATGCCGACACAGATTTTATCCTTGCTGCTCGGATCCTGTGCCCACAGTCTCAGATGTGTGAATGGACTCAAATACAGCAACACGTGGAAATCATGCTCCGCAGCTTTACTGCAATGGTGCCGGTAAGTTTATGTGACTAATTTTTAGCACATGTGCAATACTGAGCAGCATAAAGATTCATCATTTTTTTAGGTTTTTTTCATTGCATTGGCTCTTCAAAACGATCATTTTAATTGCATTAGTCATTTTATGCCCTGATTGTTCTTAGCTTTTAACAGTGAGACTGAGCTTGATTACTGTGCACTGGTGCATGTTTGAATGCATTTTTTATTTATTTGACTTAAAGGTAAATATTTAAACAATCTCTGTTTTGGAGGAAGGAAGGTTCAGGGTTTAAGTAGTCATCATCATGGGCTCATCTGATTAGAATGAGAATAAGCAGTCAATCATTTACAGGTTTTGTCGTTTTATTGAATAATGGGTAAAGGAAGGAAAGACACATGGACTGCTATCTCTAAAAAGGACAAAGTATGCTTTAAGTAACTCAAAATGATACATGAACTCAGGACTCAAAGAGAAACTCACCTCAGTGGCCGCCCCTTGTGGGAGTGAAGAAAGAGTGAGGGGTAGGTGAGTGCAGTCCTTATATAACGAGTGACAGGTGAGTGCAATTAAGGCCAAGCACCACACCCAATCAAAGATGAGGAAAAGAAACAAGGTGCATCTGGTTAAGTGAATGTGCTAAAAGGTGAGCCTTTACAACAGCTGCCCCCATATTTCTGAGAAATATGTTCAAAGGATTAGAGATGCTCTTTTTCACAAAGCGGGGGCAGAGGAATCAGACATGCTACAGGTCTAATATAGGTTCAGGGGGTCGACCTAGAGGTCAACAACGCAAGCCAGACAGTTCAGGGGGCCGACCATGTAGCCAGCGGTGGCGGCAAAGCAGATCCAAATGCCAACTGCGTGGGATGCAGCGGCAGGCCCAGACCTGCAGACCATCGGGCAGTTTTGCAGGCGCTGGGGGCAATGTACGGGGCTTGGCAGAGGCAAAACCAGGTGATGCAGGAGCAGGCAGCGCCCTGACCACTGGCGGAATGGCAGCCACAGGCAGTGGAACTGGTGATAGTGGCACTGCTGGTGACGACATAGGTACTGCTGATGATAGAGTATGAGGTGGCTGAATGAATTCAGAGCCATTAGCGGACACAAGGATGTGCTGGAGCGGTTCTCCTGAACTGGAAGATGTGAACAAACATTGGGCATGCGTGGAACTGCTCTGGGGTTGGAAGTCTGTGATTGGACCTTGGAGTGTCCATCCTAAGCAGGTTTTGACTGCTGCAGGAGATCCAAATGGTCCATGTCTAACTGGTGCAATAGGCGTAATAAGGTGGGTATGATCAGAGCCTATGAGCAGTAGTGGAGCTACTTTGTTAATAAAGGTTAATGGGATACCTTGAAGATGCTTGTATCTCCGTTGAAGAGAGGATACGGGGTAGGTGTGGTCTGAAAGTGCTAAGTGACTTGTAGCGAAGGCATTATTAATTGTGTAAGTTTTCTCTGGATGTGCGATGGGAGAAATCTGGAAACTTACAGAAGAACCTTGAATAGTTTCAACTTCTTGATGGACAGTTCTGAGTGATAATTTTTCAGCTTTCCCAGTTAGGTGGAGATGCTGAGCTGCAGATGTCAGAAGCATGGTATGTTGGGAGCCATCATCAAGTATTGCACATGTTTCCAGGGTTCTTTTGCCATTACGCAGGAGCACTTTCACAACCTTTAATAGTACACTAGGACAATCGCTAGGTCTATCAAAATACAGTGTCCTCACTACAGGATTAGTTTCAGTTCTAGGTCTCTGATTCACCTCACATAGGATCTGTAGATATCTTTCCATGCAGGTGGCACATGCTTTCCTCAGATCACACTTCGCAGCGTGATGAGTTCTAGCACAACGCCAGCACAGTTTGTTTCTCTTTATCCAGTGTATTTTCTCATCCTTTGTCTTGTTAATGAATTTGGGGCACTTGCTAATGTGGTGTTCAGGTGAGCAGCAATATGCACATCTTGCCTTAATCATTATGATGGGTTGTGCTGCCTGTACAGGATCGGATGCATTTGTCCCATGTAATATTGTTGTGAGTGGAGAGGTGTACTTATGGGCAGGTCGTGGCTGGTTAAAGGATGAAACAGGACTGTCCTTTCTTGGTTGACACTTTCATTCCATTTGCAACCAGGATGAGAACAAAGGTAAGTCATACATCATATCTCCTTGTTCCCTGTAAATGTGCCGTTTGAAGCGACTGGAATGCTCTGGGGCAACTTTTCAAGTAACCGTATTTTCACGACCATAAGGCGCACTTAAAAGTCTTAGATTTTCTTCAAAAAGTGCGGCGCGCCCTATAGCGCGGTGCGCCCTATGTGTTGTAAGGAGGACGTAGTAGAGAACACCATGAGAACGTTAAAGGGTGAAGTGTGGGCGTTGATCGTATATACCGGGACAATCGCACATACCTGTATAAAAGAACAGGTATGTGCATTATGCAGGACGTTGTTTTAACAACCCTGAAAATGGCAAAGAGACACGCTTACGAAGCACAGTTTAAACTGAAGGCCATCAGCTACGCGGAGGAACATGGAAATCGAGCAGCGGCGAGAGAATTTAAGATTAACGAATCGATGGTTCGCAAATGGAGGAAGCTGGAAAACAAGCTCCGGCAGGTCAAGAAAACGCAGCTGAGTTTCCGCGGACATAAGGCGAGGTGGCTCGAGTTGGAGGAAAGACTCGAGCGGTGGATCATCGAGCAAAGAGCGAGCGGGAGAAGCGTTTCGACGGTCACCATTCGGCTAAAAGCAGTTTCACTTTCACTTTTTATGAAACGGTGCCATTTTTCCATCAGGACCGGGACTACGGTAGCGCAGCAACTTCCAGCGGATTATAAGGAAAAGCTGGCCATCTTCCGCTCCTACTGCAGCAAACACATCGGCGACAAAAACATCCAGCCCAGCCACATCACAAACATGGACGAGGTCCCGCTCACTTTTGACATCCCGGTGAGTCACACTGTGGAGAAGAAGGGGACCAGCACGGTAGCGATACGCACAACGGGGCACGAAAAGTCTTCTTTTACTGTTGTGCTTGGCTGCCATGCTAATGGACAGAAACTGCCGCCTATGGTGATTTTTAAGCGAAAGACTTTGCCTAAAGAGAAGTTTCCAGCAGAAATCATCATTAAGGCAAATGAAAAGGGCTGGATGGATGAGGAAATGATGAAAGAGTGGCTGAGGGAGGTGTATGTAAGGAGACCAGGTGGTTTTTTCCACGCATCACCATCGCTGTTGATCTGTGACTCTATGCGTGCCCATCTCACAGCCGATGTGAAAAAACTTGTGAAGCAAATGAACTGTGAGCTTGCTGTCATTCCGGGAGGCCTGACAAAGGAACTCCAACCGCTGGACATCGGTGTGAACCGCCCGTTCAAAGTAAGGCTGCGAGCGGCCTGGGAGCGATGGATGACCGGTGGAGACCACAGTTTCACTAAGAGTGGAAGGCAGCGCCGGGCGAGTTACGCCACAATTTGCCAATGGATTGTAGATGCTTGGGCTAACATGTCTGCTGGCACTGTTGTTCGAGCTTTCGCAAAAGCCGGCATCGTTTCCGAGGAGCCGCACGGCACGGAAAGTGACTCTGACGGTGAAGAAGTGAACCTGGCATGTTTGATGGAGATTTAGCGCAGCTGTTCAATTCAGACACAGAGGATGAGGACTTCGATGGGTTTGATTGATGATAAAAATGTGAGTACCAAACTTTGTTTTGCTCCTGCTTTATTTTTAAATACGCACACTTGTATGCTTGTGTGTTGTTGATGATGACGATTACCGGCAATAGAAATGTGAGTAAGGTACCGAATTCAGGTTTGCTCCCGCTTTATTTTTAAATACGCATACGGTACTTGTATGCGCCCTATGGTCCAGTGCGCCTTATGTGTGTGTTAAATACAGTAATGGCACACATAACTGAGACTGCGCCTTTTAGCACAGTGCGCCTTATGGTCGTGAAAATACGGTAGGCGATCGACATGGGAGCCACAATTTAGTTCTGTCAGTCCTTGATCACCCATAGTGCTAAGCAAGCCAACTAAAGCTTGCACATGAAGAGCAAAGTTATCCAGAGTCTGACCATCACCTGCTCTGATAGGAGGAAGCTCCAGTATATTCCGTAGGGGGGCTGAGAGGGTGATTGACATGTTGCTGGATCAATCACTGGGAACTGCTCATGATGCGTTTGGGGAATAGCTTGTAAACGGCATACAGAGGATTTGCTTTCATCAGATGAGACAGTGTGAATTGAAGATCTGGAGGAATGGAGAGGAGATAATTGAATCATAAATTGCCTAATCTCCTTCATTGTCATCAGGAGTTCGCTCATCACCTCATCTTGATTTGTGGGTAAAGGAGCAGGGGATGTCTGTGGTTGACTTTCTGACTGCCCATCAGGATCCTGCAGCCCATGTGTGTCTGTGTCACTATGCTGGCATTCTGTTTGACTCTCTGTATCACATCTAGTACTTCTACTTCCGGGATACTGAACGTCATACTGCTGCAGGTGGGCAGGAGGTCGCCTTTCACGACCGGAACGTCTCAAATCTTCAGTCAATGGCTGCTGTGTATCCATGATGTTAACACTACTCCGGCTTGGAGGACCGTGTTTTGGAGGAAGGAAGGTTCAGGGTTTAAGTAGTCATCATCATGGGCTCATCTGATTAGAATGAGAATAAGCATCTCAATCATTTACAGGTTTTGTCATTTTATTGAATAATGGGTAAAGGAAGGAAAGACACACATGGACTGCTATCTCTAAAATGGACAAAGTATGATTTAAGTAACTCAAAATGATACATGAACTCAGGCACCTCAAAGAGAAACTCACCTCAGTGGCCGCCCCTTGTGGGAGTGAAGAAAGAGTGAGGGGTAGGTGAGTGCAGTCCTTATATAACGAGTGACAGGTGAGTGCAATTAAGGCCAAGCACCACACCCAATCAAAGGTGAGGAAAAGAAACAAGGTGCATCTGGTGAAATGAATGTGCTAAAAGGTGAGCCTTTGCAACAATCTCCTCATTAATGACAATTACGACCTGTGGATTCCAGTTGGGTATTATCTGCAATAATATCACTAAAATGCACTAAACTCACAGGTCGTACCATCTGATCTCCGAACCCTGTGTTCTATATCAGGGCTCTTCACGTGGACAGTCCTCCTCAAAACCCATCACTGACCACCAGCTATGTCCACGGCACCTCCTCTTTCTCACTACTCCCCCTGACTGTGAGCCAGAGTCTGGATGCAACTGCCCAACGCTGGCCTGAACGGGAAGCTGTGATCTTTGTGCAGGATGGCATCCGAAAAACGTTTGCACAGTTTCAACAAGACGTACGTGATTTCATCCATTTAGCTTTTGCTTTTTCATGCATTTGACAACCCTTACACATTATTTATATGTATTTAGTTGTTGTTTTAGTGGTTGAATCTGACGTTTTAATCATATTAATATGGGCTTTTCCCATTAAGATCCAAGATGTAGGACCTTTACTGTCAGTGATGACTTTGCATAAGAATCTGGTTGATTGTTAAACCTGATTACATCATTTTAAGAAAAGCATGGACATAAAATGTGGTTCCTGGAAAGTATTAACCTGGTTTGATAGTGACTCTCTGTGCACCATCTGTAGTTTGTCTTTTGAAAAAATTAAAAAATAAGATTAGCTGTGTTAAAAAGCCCATCTTACTGACATCAGAAAGAGACTTAAAAACAAAAAGAAAAGACAGAAGAAGCTTATTTAAGTTTGCTGCTTTTTACCACAGAACCCTGTTAATCATTTTTAACTTTTGAAAGTGTTGTGTGTATTTTTTTTTTTTTTTTTTTTTTTTTTTCTTTTGTTTTTTTGTGTGTTTTTTTTTTTTTTTTTTTTTTGTCGTCATTTTCTTTTTGTGCAGGTTGACAAGGCTGCTGCAGGCCTCCTTGCTCTGGGGCTGAAGCGAGGCGATCGACTGGGAGTCTGGGGGCCAAACACATATCAGTGGATCCTTTTCCAGTTTGCTTCAGCCAAGGCTGGAATCATACTGGTTAGTACAGGAGCTGTGTACATGCCCTTGAAACAGCTTTTACAGCACCGTAGCTTGTGTTATCAAACACAGTCAAATGTAAGTGACAAGGACATTGAACCTGGCAGTTGCATAGAGGAGCTGTTATGTAATCTCACAATTTTATGCTCACCAGCTCAAAAGTAATGTCATCATCACCTATAATATAATGTGCATAATCAGACACCTTTCTCACTCACTATGTGTTAACAGACCTCTCTGCATTAAATCATACTTGTTATTAATCTCTGGCTCTCTTCCACAGCATGTCTTTTATCCTGTCTTCCTTCTCTCATGTGAGGGAGTTTTTCCTTCCTACTGTCGCCAACCTGCTCGCTCATAGGGGGTCATATGTTTGTTGGGTTTTTCTCTGTATGTATTATTGTAGGGTCTACCTTACAATATAAAGCATCTTTAGGCGACTGTTATTGTGATTTGGTGCTCTTTAAATAAAATTGATTTGAATGATATGGTATGGTATGATTTCTGTAGTCTTTTGAAAAAAGACAGTGAAGCTTTGCATGGATAAAACTTTTGTCTTTGAACTGTTATCTTTGCAGGTGCCCTTGAACCCAGCCTATCAGGTAAAGGAAGTGGAGTTCACTATACTAAAGGTACAGTCAGTTGGCCCTATTGGGACAATAGCCTGAAATTGAATAGAAATGTTTAGCCTGCTTACAATTTCTATGCTGTACTTCCATTGGTTACTAATAATTTACTGGATTATTCAAGCATAAAGGAATTTGAATGTATTTAAACAGATTTGTTGCATCTAGGTCCAGTGTAAGGCAGTGGTATGTCCAACCAGCTTTAAAACTCAGAGATTTTGTGAGATGCTGAGGGAGATTTGCCCAGAGATTGGCACAACACCAGGAGGCAAATTTAAAAGCTCCAGGTTAGTCTGATTCAAATATCCCTCCTCTGCTGATATTAAGGGACTATGAAATCTTTTTATAACTTATCACTTTTAAAAAAATGATAGTGTTGAAGTTGAAGCTGTTTAGGATTTGAGACAAAGATATGGTCATGGGTTTTTTTTTAGGTTGCCATACTTGGAAATGGTGATTGTGACTGACAGCAGGCAGCCAGGGATGCTCCACGTAGATGATGTGATGCAAGCAGGGGAGAGTCGGCACCACAGAGAGCTGATGGATCTGCAGAGCAAGCTTTCCTTTGATGACCCCATCAACATTCAGTTTACATCAGTAACATTCAGTGTTTCAACTTTTTCCAGGGCACACATGTATCATATTGACCTGTAACAACAATTAGAGCATTGAAAATGATCTAATAATCATTCTGCTCATTGTTGTACAAATTGCTCATTTGTATAAGGGTACGACTGGGAACCCAAAAGGAGCTGTGCTTTCCCACCACAACATTGTAAATAATGCCTACTTCCTGGGCCTCCGCGTCGGTTACGGCTGGAGAGTAAGTTCATGTACGTGTTACTAACAAGAAGAAAGCACAAATAATAGTGAATTACTTCCTTATCTCTATTCACCATCAGCCTCGGGTGCGAGTGTGTGTGCCTGTTCCATTCTACCACTGCTTCGGCTCCGTGCTTGGAGGAATGAGCATGGCAGTTCACGGCATCACGCTAGTTTTTCCTTCCGCAGCCTACAACAGCTGTGCCAATTTAGAGGCCATTCAAAGTGAAAAGTACAGCACCACTCATCTTCACTATCATAAGTGTCCAGCTGTACAAGAATAAGCACTTTCACAGATTACCATCCATGTCTTTTCTTTTACTCCAGGTGCAATTTTGTGTACGGTACCCCCACCATGTTCACTGATCTGCTAAGCCAAGATTTACAAAAATATGATTTGTCTTCAGTTGAAGCTGGTGAGAGACCAAAAGACATGACACCACATTTAATGGGTTAAAATTGGTGTCATGTCTACCCTTCATATTTGCTACTGCATTTTTAGGGATCATGGGAGGTTCTCCGTGCCCTCCAGAGATTGTGAGAAGACTGACAACAGACATGAATATGAAGGAGATAACAGTGAGATGATACCTCTTCAGATAACACTAAAACTTACAGGAAAAGCACGTACCAGCACATAGCAACATATGCAAATCATTTTCCCCCCAGTTATGCTATGGAACAACTGAAAATAGTCCTGTTACATTTCTTGGGTTTCCAGAGGACAACGAGGAGCTGAAGATGAACACCGTAGGATGCATCCTGGGTCACACTGAGGTATAATTTCTTTCCCACACAAACCTTCATCTACACATCCCTCTAACACAGTGACACGTGGTATTTTTGCATGCCTTAACCTTAGGCTAAATTGGTGGACCCCACTACTGGGGAGATTGTCCCTCTTGGGGCCTCAGGTGAGCTGCTGATCAGAGGCAGCTGTGTGATGCATGGGTACTGGGATGAGCCAGAGAAAACCAGAGAGGTGATCTCCCAAGACCGCTGGTACAGGACTGGGTAAGGTGGAGTTTCACATATGTCCCTAGATACACAATTGTTGAGTAGAGGGCAGTGTGGGAAGTGTAGTTGTTGTCTGTACAGTGACACAGCCAGTCTGAACAGTCTGGGATACTGCTCCATTGAAGGACGCATAAAGGATATGATCATTCGAGGAGGAGAGAACATCTATCCAGCTGAGATAGAGCAATTTCTCTACAAGCATCCCAAAGTAAAGGAAGTGCAGGTAAGATTAAACCACTTGGGGGCAGCATGAGTACTAAGTAGTGTCTCTGTGTGGGTATAGAGCTTAAAAATACTATTTTGGTTGTTGTAAGCAATAAGCAGCCTCTGAGAATATGCATTAATCAGCTGTAGTGTTCGGTATAAACTACAACTCTTCTTTCCCGTGCTTTCAGGTGGTTGGAGTGAAAGATGAGCGGCTGGGTGAGCAAGTTTGTGCTTGCATCAAGCTGAAGGAGGGTCAGAGTTCCAGTGCGGAAGAGATAAGAGCTTTCTGCAAAGGCCAGGTAGGAAGAGATAAAACATAAGACTGCTAGCACCTGTAACCACTTTAAATTGAAGCATGACTGTAGCTTGCCCCCTCTTGCCTTTAGATTTCTCACTTCAAGATCCCACACTATGTGTTATTTGTGGACAGCTACCCTCTCACGGTCTCTGGAAAGGTAGGAAACGTTCACACCAACATGCCATCTGTTTCTGCCATGTATTTATATACTCATAACACATAATTAATATGAAATGAAATATTTTTCTAGATCAAGAAGAACATATTAAAGGAAACAATGGAGAAGAAGTTGGGCCTTTAATTTTGTGTCCACAGTTGGAGAGCACCTGAAATGCAGAACAGTGGAAACTGGAACATTTCCATGTTCTTTTTAAATTGTAGTTGTGGGGTGCTATATAAATAAAAATTATTACATTGTTGTTGTTGTTGTTTTTAAACCAACCATAAAACTTTCTTAACCAAACTATGAAACTTAAATTGCTGAACTGTTTTTTTGTTTGTTTGTTTTTTTAAGATCTATGACAACACCAATATTTCACTGAATTAAAAGACAAATTGTACCATTGTGCAGTGTGACAAAAAAGAACAAAACAAAAAAACCTTTGGGAAAACGATGCTTTGGAAAAGTAAAAGTAAGCGCTCTTTGTGCTGTGTAATCATGAAGCTCCTTTAAACCACTACCACCCTTCTAACCTGGGACACTGTTGAATGGTTAGTAATGGTGCTTTTCTATTCAGTTTGTGCACTCAAAGTTTTTTCTTATTACTAGTCTCATTTACACAGATGTTCAAATTATTTCTCATTTTCTATGTCGAACAATTTGTAACCTTGTAACATTCTCACTCCTGGTAGATGCGCTGGGTTTAATATCTTGCTTAAGGATACTTCAACACAAAGGCTGGAAGAGCCAGAGATCAAACCATCAACCTTCTGATTAGTAAACAAAACCACTATATCTTGATTCACTACTACTGTGTACATTTAAAAAAACAAAACAAACAAACAAACAAACAAAAAGAAAAAAAAAAAACACACACACATCATATCAATCTTTATTTAAACAATTTGATATCATAATACAATGGGCTTAACCACTGTACAATAGTAAAACCCATTATCTGAACACATGCCATACAGAATCTGAAATAAATAGGACCTTATTGCCAAATGTCAATATCCACAAAGTGGTAGGCAAAATTGTCATCTATACAAGCTATACACCAACTATAGAACCAATTTAAGTAACAGGCTCCTATTGTGCCCCAAGTGGCATCAAATGATCAACTAACAATGAATACAAGTCTTTGTGTGAGCCTTTAGGGTGCAAATTGGTGACGCTGAGGAATTAAAGATATGTAAGTGAGGGGATGCAGAGCCAAATATGTATAAATGTAAGTATTGCCAAAATAACATTATAGTTGTTGTTATTAATGCACCATAACTCCAGATAAAACTGAGGGAAAAAAATAAATTAAAAAAATCCTTGAGTCAGTTTTAAGCAGTTTGATTTGTATGAGCCAAAAATGACACCCATCAATAATTAATAGCTGCTAACTCCTAACATGTCACAATGAGGTAATAAGCCTGGAACGACACACACACACAAAAAAATCAATACATTAAATATTATAAAAAGGCAATACTGTTCTCTTGAAAAAACATCAGTGGACATCTGCAGAGGAATACACTCGACAGCAGCAGAAACCTGTAAATTCAGGTTTAACCCAGAGGGGAGAACAAGCAGATATTTCCACAAGCACTCCAGACATCAGCCAGTAACAAGAGGAACAACTGCAGCACAGCTACATGGCTTTAAACAGTCAACATTCATTTCGGTCATTCTTCGATTTAAACACATGCAAGAAAAAAAGAAAAGAAAATCACACAGGAAAATTTCACTTTAAAGTATACTGTGAGATAAATTAGTTAATGTGAACATATCCCTTTTTAAATATAGAACAATCTAAACAGAAATTAGTTTAACTGTGCAATGCAATGAAACAGAAAAGGATGGAAAGTTCAAAGGAAGCTGTGGTCTCTCATAGACCAGTTGTCAAGGATGAGTCTTCATATGAACTGTGGAATCACCTAGGTAATCGTGCCAGTTCAAAGTTGACATCTTAAGGTCAAAACATTGCAGTGACATTCATTCAAGCACAGTGCAGTACAGCTTTAGGCACAAGCAAGAAGAGAATGTGGTAGGAACACACACCAGTCAGCCACAACATTAAAACCACTAAAAGCTGATGTGAAAAATGATGATCACCTGGTTACGAAGCACTGTTCTGCTGCAAAGCCCCAGGTACTAAGCTTAACCTCATGGTATATCACTCCCTGATGGTAGTGCCCTTCCTGCTGGAGGAGAACACACCCAGCCACACTCCAAAACAGCTCCTAAACTGCCTGAGAAAGAGTATAAGGCATTGATCTCCAGAGTCCCCAGCTCCCAAACTTACTGAACATCTGTGTGGGAGGCACCAGAAACATCTGCTTCCCGTGCTCCCCAGACACCACAGCCGCTCCAGAAGCCCACCAGGTCCATGCCCCGATGGGTATATACACAATATAGGAAAGTGCTTTCAATGCTTTTTTGGCTGACTGGTGCAAATGACTGCACCTACTCACAGATGCACTTAGAGCTGCAAAACAGACACAAGCCTCTCTTGCACACACTGAGCTAAAAAATTCACACATCACTCCAGCTCTGTTTTCATTCTCTCTCACTCACTCACACACTCACACACACACACACACCCTCTGTGTTCCCAGACTGTGTTGAGGAGATAAGAGTTTCTTTAGAGCTTTCTCTGGCTTGAGGAGCTCCTCAATCACACACTCAAAGGCAGCATGCCCGGTGGAGACAGGGCTCTGGATGGTGTCATGGAAGTCAAGGTGCTGGGGTCCAATCCATTAACAGTGCTGCAGATGTCAAAAGACATACTCAACATTGGCAAAGATATACACACAGCCAGGGCATCCGATTTTAACATCAAACTAAATAACAGAAGGACAAACAGACAGGGAAAGGAGAAAAGCACATGCTAAAAGACTTACGTTTTGTCGAAGTAGGTAGTATGTAGAGAGTGAGAGAAATTGGTGGCATTGCTGTTGAGAAGCATGCTTTTGTCTGTGGAGTAGTTTTTTCTTGCTGCCTGGTCTTTGGCAAAGTTCCTACAGGCAGCAAGTTTCGACTCCAAAGCCTAACGACAAAACAGGAAATCTCAAATTAGCATCATCATAATTATCTTTCCTTTTAGCGTCGCTGAAAAGACTTGCTCCTCAGTGCAACATGTGCAGAGCTGTTAAAATGTAAAGCCAAAACAGTAAAGTGAGTAACACCTACCCCGACTTTTCTCAGAAGGTCGCCAACAATGTTAAGAGCTGAGATTCTTGCAGAGGGAGTCAGAGACGAGTTACCGCAGCCGTTGGTCAGTGCTAGGACATATAAGCCAGAGTTAACACTCATATTACAACTTTTACTCAAACAAGAGGAAAATGGAGTAGGAATAATTCTAACCTTTGGGGCTGATAAAAGAGTGCTCTATATTCTTTCCTACAGGTGTTGCTGGGAGGGATAAAGAGGCTTGTACAGCTGAATCAATCTTGTCTATGTCTAAAGTGGGTGAGCTGGGTGCTGACATCCTGTCTGTGGTCCTTTCGCGCACTGCCAGCTCCTGCCTCAGGTCTAAAGAAGGAAAACAAAAAAGAGAAAAAGTTAAGAAACACCGGCTCTTGCACAAATGATGCACGGCCCAGAAAGGGGAAGAATTCATTTATGTGGGCTTTATCTTTACCTCGTGCTTCATCTTTCAACCGCTGCACAGATACAAGGAGAGACTCTTTCTCATCCAGCTCACTCTCCAGAAAGGCATTCCTTTCAATTGCCTGGTTCAAACGGGTCTCAAAGTCTTCAAGAGACACTATTGTAGCCCTACACAAACAGTGATAAGTATTTTATGAGTGCTGACATGTTTGAGGTAAATGCTAGAATACAAACAGAATTTGCACATTGCACGTCATTCTCACCTTTTTGCTCTCTCGAGGTCATCGTTGGCCTGTTCAAGCTCTCGGACATATTTATGGAGTTGATCCTTGATGCTGCGAGTCTGTCCCAGGTCGTCCTCTAGCAAAGAGATCTGTTTATAACTCTGGGCATATTGCTGCTCCAGCTTTTCCTGGAAGACATGGAAAATGTGCAGATAAGAGAATAGTGAGTCTATAAAGAGAAACAAGGACAACAAAGACGCTACTTGATGAGGAATCTAGTTTAAAAATAACGTTTTATCCACTACAAAGATCAGCATCAGTCAGAACGAATCTCAGGACGGTCACAAGGTTTCAAAGAACATCGTTGTCCGACAGTTGTTAAAGGAAGGCATAATTTTTGGAGCTCTCTGGTGCAGTTGTACAGTACAGTCACCAATGTGCATAACCAAACAAGCACACTGAAACCCGTGTTCATGTCTACTGTGATAAGAACTAGGCTTGCCTTGCAGTTTTCTATTTTCTTCTTCTTTATCCTGACATCCTATTAAGAAGTGCTGGAGGATTACCTAAGAAAACCCAGATTAACACCTACCATACAAATGAGGCATTGGACCTTGTGTGCAGGATCCAACAAAGATCAGATAACCACTTAGGTAATCACAAATGACTTTATTAGTGTTCTAGCCAAAGGTAAACGCTTAATGAAGATCAAAAAGGCCCATTACCTTGAGGTTGGAAACCTCATTCTTTAGCCTCTCGTTTTCACTCTGTAGGTCTCGAAGACGTTGTTCAGCTTGACCAAGTTGTGCCTCCAACTCAGCTTCCAGTTCTCTGCTCCCCTCCTGGAACTCCTGCAACTCCTCTTGGGCTTCATGGCAACTAAATGGCAAAAATACAGAGAGAGTGGGTAAAACCATAAACGGTCATTGCGATAAAAGCTTTCCTGTTCATCGTCCCCCATTCAGTTCTGCACAGCTAACCGGCTGAATGACTGTGCCTATGAGCTCTAGAAAACTGACAGACCTTTGTCCTGCAAGCTGAGCAAAGCCAAGCATGTTCTAGCAGCTTTCTACCCCACTAATGGCCAGAAATAAACCTGTATGAAAGCCAGTTACAGGTTCTTATTTGTAGTCTGGCCTCTGTCAAAGAGGAAATAAGGGTTCAGCTCAGCATTGTCGAGTTAAGCATTCTAAATATACAGCTCTGAAGAGACAGCTGAACTGTGACAGTAGCTGGTTCAAAAATAGGTGAGAAGAACAGGCATGCTGCCATGCATCTTCAGAGTGGAACAGGTTAAAGGTCACAAGCAGGAAAAAAAAAACAGGAGGATAAAAGTTATGAAACAGGATGTCTTTACACACTAAATATTGCATAAAATAGTAATTATTTGTAAATGCATTTATGTAAAGGTAGAAAAGAGAGGAAAAGGCTTCTTAATATATTTTATTTTTTCTCCTGCCGAGCTGACACTTGGTAACACTGGTCAGCTGACTCTGTGCTGGGATAATGCCCTCACAGTGGCTCCACAGAGCACTGAAATGCATGAATCAGTGGTTGTGTGTTCCACACATACCAGCATCACACATGGTGCTTGATCAGCACACACAGGGCCCTGTAACATAACTATGTAACCCTAATAGATTAAATTGGCCAATAGTATTCCATACATCAGAATGAAAAAAAAGTTCTATTAATGATAATGATAAACAATGTTGCGGTTGCCTTGTAAATAAACTCAAAATAAAAAGTTTAAAAATATCACTTCAGTGGAAGGATATTCTGAGAAAATGCATGCCCTAAAAACTGCAACACACTATGGCAAATCTACTTGAAGCCACTTTTCTTTCCATGCACTGATGTTTTTTTCCACCATGTGCCCACAGGAATGTCTCAAAGTAAGCAGGACTTTAACCCCTGCTGTGCACTTTTACACTTCTTCTCATAGACTGTACGTCCACAAATAGGAAAGGAAGACTAAACAAATGTCAAATGACACTCTTAAGTGACACTAATGCCCATCCTGTGGCCTGTGTCATTTCCTATTGAGTAAACCATGAAGTTTGTCAGTGCTGATTTCATTACTCTTTTCTGGCCATTTGCCTTATACGGCTAAACACAGCCTGTGTGGAAACTTTTGGCACAAAGTTATTATGTAATCATATCTTTCAAAACTACTGCGCAAACCACATAGTCAGCAAAACAAAGCAGCTGCTTATTATGCAAGGATGAGCATCTACTGTCCCCAAAAGCTGTTTTTCATCTTATGCTATATTTGAAGAATCGCTGTCATTCGATTTCCAACTCCGCTTTCTTTCAAGACAGTATGTTATGTAACCTAATTTTGGCTTAATATCAAACTGAAATGAAAAACTCACACAGGTCTGTTCTTTGAAGAAATTAAGCCATACATACCAACTCATACCATAAATAAATTCAGGCATGCATTGCTGTCAGATGCGACACAAATGCCACCTACCTTTTCTTATATTTGAGGGCTTGGGACTTCCAGTAATCAACCTCCTCATCCTTTGACGAAAATTTGGGAATCATCTCTGTGTCCATGTCAGGGCAACCTGAGGATTGAAGGCACATTTGTATTACATTTACAGTTTTTTTTCAGTTAGATTAGAATTAGTAAACGGACAGCTCAGCAGTTTTGTCATTTGCATCCTCTGACATGTTAAATCAAGCGGAGCACATTCCGTTCTTATCTCAGAGCAGAGCCACCATCAAACATTCTCCTCATTCATCACTGGAGAAGAAAGGCCCTATCTCAGCGACAGACCATCCTGACCGCGTAACCCTGTGGGATGAGGTCGTCCATCCTCAGTTACTCATAAATCAACAATGCTAAGAAACCCCCCCCAACTTAAATACAGTTTGAAGCAATTACTTCCAAATACCACAAATAATTGATAATAACGTGTGCTCAGTGTGCCAATGCCTTTATATACCTGGGAAATCTTCAGTGTTATGTGCATTAAATTATTAAGTTTTAACCTCTTAGCTCGCTCAACTCATGCAACTTCAACATGACGAGTTCATTTGCTAAAAAGATCAACGTGTGAGTCCAGTTCTTAAATTTTTCACAAGTGGGTACGTTTTTCATCTTCCTTCCTGTTTGCAGAGTTACCACTTTAACAGACAGTCGTTCCTCTTTTCTGGTGAGCAATTCAACTCTGTGATGTATATGGACCTACGCAGCTGTTGTCAGGGAATCATTAAACACATCTGGAAAGAGCTGCTGTTGGCATCATGTGTGGGTCTGGTGAAACAGCTGCCAAAACCAGCACTAGCACTGCTGTAGCCCCAGGAATATTTATAATCTGGCACTGGCTTCTAAGGATTTCCTGCAGATAGGACCAGCAGCAAGTGGACATGACACAGGAAAAACCTGAGCTGAAATCAAATGTGCTCTGATTTTTGTGTAAACTGCCTCGACAAAAGTCTCCTATTAAATAAATAAATAAATTCTAGTGGCTTGCTTGGCTTGGGCCTGGGTGTTGCTTCTAAGTCTAGACTCAGAGAGACGATGACTTTGACTGCAGTTTCCTTTACAGCATTCCTCAGAGATGCCGTCATGAACAGCTTCCCGTCTATAAGACCCTCACGTGTCAGCGCGCTGCAGACCATAATAACGAGGGGGTAACAGAAAGTAAGGGAAATTTTTCAAAGCTTCCTCTGACAAAACATGCTGGATGTCAGGAGACCAGACACAACACTCTAGGGAAGTACCTAAAAAGTTTCTTTTGATTTACTAGACAAAGATCAAACACTACTCATCTCTCTCTCTCTCAATGCTAGGATACAGAGGCTTGAAAGGGATCTGGTGCTTTCTGCTAAATCTTGTAGCCCATCAAAGCCCTACACAGGACAATAACCCTAAGTCATATCCTGTACCAGGTAAAAGCAGAGACAGTCAGAACAGGATAGCTTCTGTTATTTTTCCATTTCCTTTGGATAGCTCTCTGGTTCATCCCTGGATCTGTTTGTCTACTGCAACAACACCGCTACAGACATGGCCTGAATCCAGCAAAGATCTTGAAACTACAGACAAGGGAAGGCAAGTAAAGAGAGTGCTTCCTTTTCCACATTTGTCTCTCTGTGTCCTGTGTTGATGCTGACAAAGTCACTTTTCCCCCTCCTGTACAGAAAAATCCTACATTTGTCTTCAGATTCCTTCTTGGAGTTTTGCTGGTTTGTATAGCTTTATAGGGTGTGGTGGCACAACCCCTGACCTGGGTCCATATTTTGGTCTCCATGTTATGGATTAGCCCACCATACAGACAAACATGTTTAATGAGACAAAAAAAAAAGCAAAAAAAAAAAAGCGTAAGATTCAATAAAAAGCATGAGACCAAGAACCTCTTATTGATTATGTGACGGTTGGTATTGATCTCAAATGTATCAAAAGGTCTAATTCAGCCCAGCAGCTACAGGCTGTGATTTAACGACGCTGATGATTTTTAGACGTTTGAACGTGTCGGTATCTGATAGTGGGAGGTATGACCGCACAGAGGCTCGGGCTCACGCCAAAAACTGTCAGCTCGCTCTCGCGTTACAAGTAAAAATGCAGCACACAGAACGAGCGAGATTTAAAGGCGTATGAAGCAAACATTTAAGGTGACACTTCTCGATATTTATCCCGAAATAACCATATAATCTTCGTAACGTTTAGGAGAGTAAAGTCTAAAAAAACACACACACACACACAAATGCCTCGACAGCTGGTTACACGGACAGGTCAAACACTAAAAACGCGTTAGAGGTCAAATTTAAGAGATTTAAACGGCTACCTGCTCATGTCAAGTCGGTCTACTGTTGTCTTCCGTAGCAGCGAGTCGATTTCCAGCCGGTAAAACACCCAACGATAAGCAGAGCTCCTCTTTGCCGGGCCTCGGGTGATACTGACGTTTCCCAATGAGGTAACTGAGCTCTGTTTAGGAAATTGCCAACGCGTCTCCCGGAACCAACGTAAATCCTGACAGGGGCGTACGTGATGACGTGATTTCACGTTACATCACACGCAGGCCTGCTCCTGAAATAGATCTTCGCGATTTCACCACACCACACCCATTTTTCGGACTGAACCTCCACTAAACAATAACTTTTTTTCTATTCCATGAAATGTCGTCAAATAAATAGGCATGATTATCAAACCCATGCCTATCAAATAATTCAAGCAGAAAAAACAACAAAAAGGGCAAATATCAAACATAAAAAAATTAATTAAAAAACTTAAGTAAATAGCATGTAAAGAAAAAATTGTTCTTTTTCACACAAACTACATAAATTACTGTTAAGCTTAAAGCAATCTCAAACTTACAGTACATGGACAAATATCATTGATTATCATGAAACGAACTAACAAATATATAAGATAACAAATATATGTGATAAAGATATCTTTGATGCTTCGTCAGCTTTATTTGTAAAACTGCTTAGTACTGTGATACCTTAGATTGGCCTCTTGTACACCAAGTGATGTGGCCTTTTTATCTCAAATTATTATTATTTATAACATTTATGTGAACTGTAGTGATACAAGAGAACAGAATACCAAATTGGGACAAGACAGTTCAAGAAACCTTTTTAATTTGAAATCATATATCTATGTCCGTCTTGATAGGATGTACCTTTGAAATAGGTCTAGGTGACAGGCCTAGGTGGTGTGACCCACTACAATGGTCCTGATTTCTGAAGTGGCACCTTGGGAAAATGAATTGTGTTCCTGATGGACAAATATTGAAAATCTTTGAAGAATACTCATAAAAAGCCCCATATGACAACTGAAACTGGAACAAAACAAACAAACAAACAAACAAACACGCAAACCAAAACTTCACAACCAGGGGAACCAGTCAGTCACGTCACTGTTCCCATTGGCAACAGGACCTGTTTTACACAGCAGCTCGTCTCTCCACCTCAGGGAGGATTCTGATTTGCCTCCACTCCAGGTGTAGGTGAGGGAGAGTCAGGGAACAAGAATCGGAAATGACTATTCAAAACAAAAGCAACCTTGAAAATTGTCTTAAAAAGCACTGTACGTGATTTTAAGGGCTCTTAGTGCCCCGTCATAACACACGTGGTCTTACGTAATATGCTGTAAACAGATGTTACATATATACAAAGGAATTTTTAACTAACACTGGTAAATGAAGTTAATTGAGGGTTATACCATCATGGTTAAATGTTTTACATAATCTTATAGTCCAAGTTGCCTTTGAAACATTTACATTAGTATTTCATTCTTTGCTTGTTAAACACAGAATACTAACAGGACTTGTTAAGGGCCCCTGGATCCAACCTGGGGTGGATTTCTTACTTGCCTCTATGTTGTGACCTACCTGCCTTACTCATCTCGATCATGGAGGTGGCACATTTGTGCCAAAGGAATGGAAAAGTTCCAGCAGGGATAAATGCAGTTCTGGAAATTGTCTAAGAATAGACTATGCCTGATTTTCAGACTCTATAGATGTGCCTATAATTTTTAGAGTATATAATTTATTTAATATTTATGTACTAGTGTGTCCAATTGTTAAAGATTGCCACACTAAGTAATTCCTGCTGCTACAGATTCCTGACCTCTTTTACCATGCAGCTTTCCCCTCTACCCCAGTGGGGAATTCCCTCATGACAGGTTACCCAATTCCAATGACAACATAAATAATTTATTTCTACACTCAAATACAGCACATATGAACACTTTAGAAAATAGTGCCCAAAATGTAAGACTGTAAGAAAACAATGTGTAAAACTGTTCTTTAAAACATAACATCTTTGTTCATTCACAGATTTTGTTTTAAATTGTAGAACACTTATTAAAAACATAGATAAAAAAACAAGAGCTTTTCTGCCATTGTCATCTATTACTTAATTGCTTTAATATGGATAATCAATCAGTAGGAAAAGGTGTAAAACCTATGAAAGCACAACTGAAAGTCCAAAAGTTTATGCCACTTATCTGTGAGCTTTTTAAAATGTTTTTGTTAACCCCCCAAAAATAAATCTAAGAAAATATCGGTTTTCTACGGTCGTTGGTTTTCTTCGGGAGATAACAGACCATTCATGACCCTAGTCGGGCATGATGAACACTAGAGGTCGCTAAAATTTAACTCCAAACAAAAGTTGATCAGTTGCTGTTCAGTTTTTTTTTTTAAAAACGCGTAAAAACAAGTATCAAATTGTATAGATATCTAATTAAAACAATTACATTCATAAACTGTCAGTTTTTCTGATGGCAGCTCGTTGGGGATGCTTTTTATCTACAATAAGTCAAATATTAATGTGTAATATTTGTTGAAGACATTTCTTTGTTATGGAAAAAATATTAAAATCATCATGAACAATACGAGTGGTTATTTCTAGAACTTTGTGTATATAATTTGGCATTTATCAAGACAAGATCGCTGATTCTTGCTGTCCTGTGAACATCATCGGCGTGGTGACGTTTATTTGTTTGCCGTTTTCGCGGTCGCCTCGTGATTGAGAATATCGCCAGGTAAACTCGTGACAGTTTTTAATGTTTTATTGTTCAAGTGCAATAAGACTGTGTTTAAGGTGACCTCACAAATGTTGCAGGTTATATATTCAGTGTTTATTTGCTGGTTTGTCGGTAGCGGCTCATGAAAAGCAAGTCTGCCACACATCTGTTCGACCAAATCCAGTTAATCTGGAACACCGGTGTTTCAGATTAACTGGATTTGGTCGAACAGATGTATAGTTCAGGTAACCTGCATGCCTTTGCACTTTAAAGAGACTGGAGCCCCTAAAGGACACATGAAAATATAGACTGATTCACAGATAAGGCTTTTGCACAGAAAACTACATTACCTGCACATTTGAACATGTTTAATTGCGTCACTCAACAGCCTGACGTCAGATGAATGACTCTGACAATCTAATTTTTCCTGCAGATTGAATGTACCTTCTGTGTAAATTGGTACCATGCAGTGTTCGTGGACTTCCCCTGTAAAGAAGGCGACTACAAATGTGCGCATGCCAAATAAACATGGGGGGAAAAAAAAAAAAAAAAGACCCCTGTGGTCTTTGCTTAATGATTGTTTTTAGTGTTGACAATCTACATTGCTGGCATTGCATCTTTCAACATGTTTGTGGGTGGATTTGAATGCACTAGGTGTAAATGCAGCCACTCAGTCTCTACTCAATGTGACCATATACAGGTGCAGATGTGTCACAAGTTAATCTAGTAGTAGGCTATGGCACTTAGCCACAGGTGGCAGCAGTGGACTGACGCTCCATTGGAGACTGGTCCAGCTGCTATGTGATAGTGGATCTGCTACAAATTGAAGATCATATGCAAGCCCTTAACCCTTGCATTATGTTAAAAAATTACATTGATTTTGTTGCGGGTCATTTTGACCCGTAGTGAGTAAATCCACTCAGAATTGTCAAAAAACTGCGATAAAACAATAGCAACTTTATTTTCCATTACATAAACATGTAGGACACAGACATACAGTTTGACTTTACCAAATTGTTACCAAAAATAGTTATGTAAAGGTTTTTCATTCCTACAAACACATTTCTTTTGAACTTGCCCGATGTTCTCAGTTTTTCAGTGTTCAACATTTTCAATTTTGTCCACATAATGGACAGAATGTAACTGTGTGCTTTCTGCAGATGTACTTCTTGCATTTCTCACAAAAAGTGGTTTTTGCCAACCTAATTCAGTTGGTGCCCTGCAGTCCTAATCTGATTAAATGGCCTGCATTTGTATAGCGCTTTACTCAGTCCCTAAGGACCCCAAAGCGACACACACACACACCCCCACCGGACCCTCTGACCACCACCAGTAGGCAAACATGGGGTTAGCATCTTGCCCAAGGATATTTGGCATTTTTAGCCTGGGATCGAACCACCGACCTTCTGATTAGTGGCTGACCTGCTCTGCCATCTGAGCAACAGCCACCCCATTAGACCAGTTGGATTAACTACTGAAGTGTCTAAGAATAACTGGAGGTAACTGGATGTCACCGTACTTGAGAGGAATTTCTCAGCAAGGTGCAGAAAAGACAAGGGGCGAGTAGGTAAAGTGGTTGCCCCGTGATCGGAAGGTCGAGGGTTCGAATCCACTGAACGCTAAATCACTGCTCACTAACACATTATATTAGAAGACTGTTACCACATGTGGATCGCATATATTCACCAGAAACAGACAAGGGAGATGAGTAATCTGCTAATTTTACAACAGAATAATGGCGCTGACAGTGGAAAACTGACACAAGGCCACATGGGAGTGCTCCATATGCTTTGAAAGCGTTTTGACTGCAAAACGACCTGAGCTGCAGGCATCTTCTTTGTCAGGACTGCTTCAGTAAAATAATTGTAGTCGCCCAGAGTCAAGGATCTATCGTTTGTCCTCGCTTTCTGTCCTTTTTAAATTGTATAGGGAGCAGGGGCCTGTACAAAGTGATGGGAAGGGGTGGCACCGACCCCACCCTCAACCACTTTTCCAAATCTGATGTCTTAACTTGGTGACCCACTAAAATTCACTAAAATTTTGAAATCATAAATAACATAATGTTTTGTAATTACATTTTTATCAAATATTTTAAAAAACATTACATATTTAAATGCAGTTTTCCCCTGAAATGCTTGAAAATGGTTCAGTCCAATCCCCAACTCTAAACACAGCTGTATGGGTGTTGTTGAGCCAGTATCTCTGGTAGTGAACCCTCAAAGGTTATCAATGTTGTTTGTACCTGAATGTGTTCGTATTTTAACCCTTTAAGACCTACCATAGAACCAAGTCCGCTAGAGCTTATAGTATATTTTTACATGCTGTGGAGCCATTTTTTGGAGCATTTCAAGTTGCTATACATCAATACAACCATTATAGCCCAAATTTTAATAATATGTCTGCATTAAGTGCATAGTAATTACATAAATTGCAAAAAAGTGCAATAAACTACAAAAAAATTGAAAATCGTTTTTGATTTTTTAACATATATTTCTAGTTAAAGAAATTTAAGAGGCTTATCCCTCAAAACTGTAAATACAAAAAAGTTGCACAAACTAGTTTCCCACCAAAGGAAATTTATTTTAAGTGTCTTCATAGTTTTATTTTTGAGATACACCAATTTTCATATACTGCAGGAAAAACGAAAAAATAGATTATAGTGCAAATTTGCAAAATAACAGCATATGCATCAAAATAAAATATTTCCAGCAGTGCAATATGAGTCCTCAGCATCCCAGAAACAACACAGAAAGTCATAAAGTCAAACATAACTTTTAAAAACACAAGTATAGGCTCATAAGGCCACGATGGTAAAAAACGACATTTCCGCAAAATGACCTCACTTCCGGTTTCGGGCAGGTCACGCGGTCATGTGATAGTTCACGCTGATGGATGTAGGAAGTGTTACAAACAGCTGATCGGATCGGCAAAGCGTGTTTCTGGAATATTATGTTTTGTTGCTGCAAGTGCTTTTTATGCAGTTTTTGCAAAGCTATATGTGGAAGGAAACTGTGATGTAGGACATGCTGATGGCATAAGATGTAAGTACAACTCCTCCGGTTTCATATGCAAAAAAAATTATTGCGCTAGCTTACGTGGTTGCAGTGCTACCGGGATTTAAAAATAGTTACGCAAAATGGAGCGTGTCCGCTCCGACCGGCTTTCAATCAATCAATCCTTTATTTGTCACATGCAAATATAGCAGTCCCTCTGAATATGGATTTGAACAAATGACAGACTGGCTGCCTAGGACTTTAAACAGTAGTCTTTAAAATAAATTCAGCAACTACTAGTGCTATTAATAACAATAATAGTTATAATTATCATTGCCTTTCGGTCATTATTTATGGTTTTCCAAAGCACCATAAGTCACAAAATGCTTAGAATTACATCAAACTGGGTTTTAAATTACTTATATTATTGCTGGATGTCATCACAGTATCATTTGTTTGTGTCATCTCATAGATGCAGGGTATCAGGCTATTTGTTTCTTTTCATTGAGTTTCATTAAGTTTCTCATGTTGGGCTGGGACATTAGGCTCCATGGTTTTTGTCCTCCACATGGAGTTGTTTTTCTTTTTTTCTTGTAGTCTGTTAGCCATCTTCATTTAACCTTTGATTCCAAACTCTTTTTGTTTGTCTTGATTTTTTAAACTTGAAACACTGCAAGTGTCTCAGGGGAAAAGCCTAGCTGGATCGGCTGGACAGACAGAATCACATCACATAGAATCACATTAATCCTTCCCAACTGCTTGTCTATGGACTGTGGGAGGAAGCCAGAGTATCCAGAATGAACCTGGTACATGCAAACTCCGCATAATGCAGCCAGATGGTGGATTCCAGCCAAGGACTTTCTTGCTGTGCGACAGCAAGACCATTTCCCCCCATGAAATGTCCCCTTCTACTGCTGTAATCTTATGTTAACTTTCTCAAATAATGCAGGTCAGCACACACATTAGTGCTGGAACTGGACTTACTTGCTTAAGTTTCAGGTTTTACGTGAATAGTGAGGCACAGATCCAAGAGATGGTCATCTGTGAGTCTTAGACCCACCCAGCATTGACATGGATTGTTTTGCTAACCTACTGGATACTCAAACATCTTGGTGGAGGTGTGAGAAATGCACTAACTAGAAACGATTGTCCCACTTTTCGTATAGATTTTTTGCTGTTGTTTTCTTTCTTTCAATTGAGACATTTTGTCCTAAAATACCTGAGTTTTTATTGTCTTTTAGAGGCAATGTTTATTTTTTTGTTGTTTTTACCTAAATGTACTTTGTGATTCACAAATGTTTTTCTTAATGAAGCTAATGGCGGCATTGTCCGTCAGTTAGGTGCAGTTTGGTTTGTGAGTACAGGAGAATTATGCAAAGATTTTACACTCAGTTTCACACACAGTCTGGAAAAACTCTTACTAGCTATTACTGTTTTTCAGTTCTGTGATTCCCTCTACTCTAAATCTGAGTAAGTCCTATTTTTATGGTCGGGTTAGACTTCAGAGTGATAATCCACAGGAACCCACGAATATTAAAGATACTTTGACACTGTTCAGCTGTCGTCATACACATTTTCTAATATAAGTTTTAAAATTGCATTCACTTCTAGTGAACTTTTCGCATTTTGTCATTACACCCCACCCCAAGCCCCAGGGTGGAGGCCAGAACCCCTCCTTAAACAGGTGCTGTTTGTTTAAGTCAATCATCTACTCCTTGTGTCCCCTAGAATTTAAACTATTACACATTTACACTCTTGTAAAATAAGAACACTCAGCCACTTAAGGAAAATTTAAGCAAATTGTCTCTGATTTCTTCTTTAGACAAGAAATACTCACACCACCTTTTTTTGGACGACCTCATGCTGGTATGCAGTTGTCTGAATGAAACGAACAACTGAAACAGGGAGGAAAGAGGAAAAGAACATAATAAAAGGACCTGTTTTACAAGTCAGCTTTCCCCCTCCACACCTGAGGGATTACCTCATCACCTGCAGGCTGTGGGCCTGGGTATCAGGGCTGGTGAAAGAATATGATGTAGGTTTCCAGTATGCTTTAAATCAATGCTGGGTGGGTCAAAGACTCCCGACACCCTGACACTGTGATCATTAAAGTGCCTCACCAGTCAGGTAAAACCTGAAACTCCAGTTCCAGCACTAAGGTATACATTGACCTGCATGACTGAGTAATCCGAAAATAACAATTCAACAGTTGTAATAAGAGGCCATGTTTGGGCTCAGAAGCTGGCGCTGTACAACAATAACTGAATGAATGACGATGTTCTATTCAGTGATAAAGATAAACAATGTTATCTGACACATTACTTGTTTAACCCTCTGGGGCCCAGGTTTTAATTGGCTGTTTTTCACTACTTTTGATTTTACCTTTGTATTTCTCCTTTAAAAACTATTTACCTTACCACTAAAAACTGTTTTGACTTTAAAAACCACAAACATGTTTAACGAATCATTTTCATAACTTTAAATTAAATTAATATTTCAACTTCTAAAATAAAATTACAGAACAATTAGGTGTCACAATAAGTTGCCACACAAATTATTTGTGCTATTTCAAAAAAGAGTTTCTGTCATAAAAACAGTTCTTGTGAACGCTGTCCTTAGAAAATGCAGTTTTCACAGTTAATTCACTAAATGTGACGATAGTATTCAGAAAAATGCATCGCCTATGTTTTTAAATTATATTGGATTAATTAGATTTTATTTAGATTAGATTGGTTTTATGTGGCCTATCAACACAATTATAAACTGTTATATAGTTTGGTGTCTGCACTTTAAATACAAGTTTAAATGAATCTTAAATTGGTCATGTGATTTGGACATGCTGGCGTTAAATAATCTAGCTAGGCTAGCCCCTTTAGAGGACAATAATATCAGATACTGGTCATTGAGACTCATACCATTGTGTTTAGAGGTGGGGGTTGGACTGAACCATTTTCAGGAATATCAGGGGGCTAGCTTCTTTTAAAAATATTTTTTTTTAAATATATTTTTATCAGCATAAATGTTGTAAATGCAAAACATTATGCTATTAAATATTTTATGATTTTATTCAATTTTATTTGGACACCAGTGCGAGGCATCAGATTTTTTGGGGGGTTATGTGTGGGTAGTGCCACCCCGTGCCACAACTTTGTACAGGCCCCTGCTCCACCACACACTTTAAAAGGGCAGAAAGTTTCGTGCTGTGAACAGAAGTTGGAGAACACTACTGTACCAGTAATCAGCTGATTTTACGATGGAATAATGGCACTGGCAGCAGAAAATAGACACGAGGCCCCACAGGAGTGTCCTGTATGCTTTGAAAATGTTCTGCTTGCAAAACGCACTCTGAGCTGCAGGCACGTCTTTTGCCAGGACTGCCTGAGCAAAATAATGGTAGTCGCCCGGAGTCGAGGATCTATCATTTGTCCTCTCTGCCGTCAAGCCACTTATCTTAACAAAGAGAACCCAGCTGACGATACCCTGGCTGCAGATGTGGACACCACACAGGGGGTGGCTCTTCCTCTCCCGATGGGGTATCTTGTGATTGCGGCGAGGGCCTCCATAGACTGTGTGTTGCGTGGAGGAAACTGGATGATGCATCATTTGAGGACACTTTCTCGCCGAAGCAGCAACCAAACGGTCATCTACAGGAATGGGTCTCAGGTTTTCACAATCAGCGACCACGTGAGACCAACGACATGCAGCGATACTGCTGTCGGAATTCCTGCTGAACCTCCTGATTGTCGGGTCACCAAATCAGTCTGCATTTGCCTGGTAGTGGTGATTTGTTTGATCACACTGATGTGGCTTCTGGTGTGGCTTCTGGTGAGTCACCTATGAGGATGTGCAGACTCCAACATCCATTCTCAGGACTGACACATTGCCTCACTTTGTGATAACGGTAAGACTTTATTATTTACTATGTTCTGTAGTTTTTTTTCTTCTTTTTCCCTGTTGCGTTTTACTTGTTGGGTGTACACAGTTGAAAGGAGAGAGTTAATGAGCTGAGTCAGCTCGTGCTGTAGCTTGTTCTCGTTCCTCAGACATTTTGTTATAATATTGTTTCTGTCTGCAGATGCATCAATCCAGTCTCCTTCCAGAGGACCTGTGAATGGGAAGCCCCACAATGAGCTGCTATCAGGAAAACCGACGATTATTTATTATTATGTTTAATATTTTATAGTTTGACTTTTTCCAGTAATGACTGGAAAAATGAAAAAATAAATGTTTAGAATGCTTTCTTCATTGTTTTATGAATCGCTGTGGCCAACAAATTATGTTTGAAAACTTCAGAGTCACTTTATAAATACGTATTGCTGCACTTTGTATTTTTATATATTGCTTGTTTATAGTTGATTCAAGAGGCCCACACCTTTTCTACAGTTGGTCAAGATTAAAGATTTTAGAACTCTGGTTTTGTGTTGTAATAAATACAAACAATAACTCTTTGCACAAATGGCTTATGCAAAGAAGAAATTACACACACACACTCTAATCAAAGCTGTGTGTGTATCTATACACAACACACACACACACACACCTGTAGTCAATCATTTTCAGTTTGGTACCCTGCAGTCTTAATCTGATTAACTAGTTGGATTAATTGTAGTGTCTAATAATCACAGATTTAAGAGTTTTATAAGAATTTTTATTTATTTTTAACATCTCCACTATTCTTCATGGCAGTGGTTAAAACTTCAGTCATCACAGCAAACATCACACCTCAAAACCATCTAAGCCACAGCCACCTGTGATGTCTAACTCCTGTTGGGATAGATTATGGATGGCTTTGAGACAACATGATTTGCTGCTATATGAATAATACTGAATTGTATGCACATAGTTCTGCACCTAGGAAAATGAAGTGTGATCAAATATTTCCAGTAGTAAACAACAAAACTCATGTGCCTACAGAAACAACTCACTCGTATAAGTCTATGGGTAAACTTCCACAGACATCACACATCATGCCCATGATGTATTTGTTAAATCTTCCCATTGTGTCCTGAAGAACTGCAGAAGAGCTTTTGCTGTTTTGGTTTTTTTTGGCTGTTTTTTCTTTGAGCCATTTTAAAGCCACATGGCTGTACTTGTTGAAATGTCCTACAAGCATGTATTTGATCATTTAGGTTTTAAATATAAACATTTTCATCTCAAGCCAGCCTTTTTATGTTTTTTTGCATTTGTTTGGGGGGGTTTTTTCAGAAAAATGTAACAATTATTTTTTAGACTATATAAAAAGCCACATGCCTTATATGCAAAAGTATATTTACATGAGAAAATTTACACTAAATGAAATCAAATTTGCAAATTTGATGACCTGACAATGGCACATGGCAGGATGAACTATCACACATGAATAACAAAAGATAAAATGACCTAACAACAGGTCATGTTTTACAAGGGGCTCCTGCCTCCACCCTTGGGCTTGGGGGTGGGGTGGAATGTAGGAATGTGAAAGTTTCACTAGCAGTGAATGCAATGCTGGAAATTATCTTGGAAAACTTGCATGAATTTAAGTAACTTGAATGGCTGAGAATCTCCAAAGACATTCAGTAAAAACAGTATAATATATATTTATAACAGTATTAGGAAGAGAACATCTTTGGATTGTAAAGCTCTAAGGTTATAAGCAAAGATTTATTTTTTTAATCATAAAAATAACAATTGTAATAAACTAAAAGCACTTGAAAGTCACAGTGAGTTATGGCTATAATTGGGATTTTAATTAACATTTTAAAAAGTCAACCAGGTTGGTTACAATTTTAAATGTGCTTTATTTTAATAGAACTAAGATAACCTAAGATAAAAGCTCAGCCCTCTAACCAAATACTACCAGAGATACCTACTCAACAACACTCACACCATTGTGTAAGGTTTGGGGGTTGGTAGGCAGCGGACTAAACTAATTTGAAGTCTGTGAGGAGGGATAACGTCTTACATATATCAAGTGTTTTATATGTTTGATTAGCACAAGTGTTTTAAAAGGAAAATACTGTGTTGTTTAGTATTACATAGTTGTTTTGATTTTTTGAGGGACACCGGGTTAAGACAGTTAGGGGTATACTGAATAACTCCCACCCACAGTGGTACCCCGTACTGAAACTTGATAGAGACCCTTGGTCCTGCACACACAGACTAAAAGGGCAGAGAGATCTTGCTAAGGAAAGAATTTGGGGAGCACTTCACTGTAGCAGCAGCAACCCAAAACTAGTTCTTGGCCATACATCTTCAGCAGAAGCACAACAAACGAGAACAATGGCTGATGAGGCTGCTGATATAGATCAGCTTGAACCACAGCCCAGCCAAATCCACAGTGACTCTCAGTTTACTGGGCTAGACTTTCTCTTGATGCTACTGGAGATTTTGACTATTTTGCTATCAACCATGTCGTCTTTCTTTTGATGGATATTTTGGCTGTTTCCGACTTCCAGATATCGAGGCCCCAGAGAGGTTAGCGCAGATTTTGATAATGGTAAGGCTCTTTTATTCATTCATTTTTGTATTTATTTAATCACTACATTTATTGTGCTCTGTATTTCTAAGTAATCACGAACAAAAAAAAAATTGATGTAACTTAAATAGTGTGGCTGTTTGTCTCAAACATGAAGCAGTGGGGTTTGTTTAGAAAGTTCATTCTGGAAGTTAATAAATTAACAGCTTTTTATGATGTTTATTAAATGTGAAATTGTAAGTTTTCTTATGTTGTTTCTGGTTTTTTGTAGATACATTAATGAAATATCCTGCCAGAGGTCGTGCAGACAAAACAGAAACGTCCACAACAAGCTGCAGCTGCTGATTCTTCAGTATTTGTGCTCCTGACAAGTTTCCAACACACCAGGATATTTTGTGTCTATACGTTTGTATTATAGCCTACAGGCTTCCTCAGTAAGATCTACAATTGCTGACAGTAATTTGTTTCTTAATGTATTAACAAATGGCCTTGGAGTGTAGTGATTTACACATTGCCAATTTGATTCTGTGAGAACCTTTGGGCTTACATCTGGAAGGGGATGTAGTATAAAAATCTGCCAAATAAAACATCTGGAATGGGCTGTTGTGGTAATCCTTTGTGTACAAGATAGCAGCTGAAACTCATTTACAAGATTGGAAAGTATTACAGTACAGAACCTAATGGAGGCCAGTAACTACTCAAGATCCAAGCAGTTGGAGGAGCCCTTGGAAACCTGGAATGAAGAGTTTGTATCTGTTTGCCATTTTTATTTCTAAATAATTGAGATCCAAATAAGTTGCCCGAATAAATCAATTGTGTGACTGCACTTTGATTAAAATAAATAATTAAATACTGGAGCCTTTCTTTTATCACTCATTCAAAGTTAGGCAAAATGGTTTAGTTCACCTCACACTCCACTAATTTAAACCTAATAATTTCCTTAGGGATTAATAAAGTATGCTGATTCTGATTCTTAAGTATTTTTATTCATCTTAAGGCATGAGAAAAAGATTTTTGAACTTCATTTTTTTAAACATACTTTTCAAAGAGTTTTTTTTTTTTTATACATGTGGACAACTGGCTGACCACTGTGCGTGAAAGGGTTAAAAGTTGTGCTGTGAGATAAGCAGAGCAATTTGAGGAAGCCAACATGTTTATTTATCTTTAGCGAGTTCTAATTAAACACTGTTGGGTAGCATACCGACATAACATATTCATATCTTTGTAATTCCAGTATCAGAAAGAGCATTAGACCACACGAGTATGTCATCCCTAACTCTTGTGTTTGAAACCATCAAAGGTTTCAGCACTGATAGAAAAGCCACTCCTGTCCTTTATGTGGAATATCTGCTCCAAGTGACTCAGGTGCTTCTTGTCTCTTGATGGCTATAATATACCAGCAGTGAGGGCTTACTTTGCTGCAGTATGATGGCTACCAGGATGTTGTAATGAGAGCATTACATTAATGTGTGCCCGGAACACATTCTGAGCACACCGTCCTGGCTGTTTTTACCTCTATTACAGTGCAGCATCACTGCATTCAACCTTGTGCTTTGGGTACAGAAACTGGTTCTCTCTTGGTTTGTGGTTTGTTAACATATAATGGTAATGAGCAAAGGTAGATTTTGACTTTCTTATGGTCTCTCTTGAAGCACCAGTGAGTATGACTGAGCCTTACCATTGTCAGTGTGAACAAACTTGTCTCCATGTTTTGTCTCTGACCCTTGCTGGGTAATTTGCTGGGCCTATTTTGACACTGTGGGTTTTGACCAGGCAGCAGAGCTTGTCTGCAGATAACAATGTCTTTCGTGCAAAAACTGATTGAAAACCTGATTCTGAGCATACAGGATATTGTGTTCCATAATTTTAAACAGCAATGTTGTCATGTTTATGGTACATGTTCAGTAGCTGGGGAAGAAACATTTACAGCATATTGAACATTCTTGAGTCCCTTTGGCTATCTTCAGTATCAATTGCCTACAGTATTGATACTATTGTCTTCAGCCTTGTACTTGTTTGGGTACAACAACTGGATTTATGTTCTTCTTAAAATTGATCTCAATAATTTAAAAAAATAGAGATCAATAATCAGTCATGGTTGTATCTCTGAAAGCACCAATCATAATTTGGTCTTACTGTTGCTGGTGTGGGCAAATATCTTGTATCTCAAGATCTGTCTTGCGAATGGACACTGGAAGTCTGCAGCCAGGACATCCTCTAAACTGGTTTACAAAAAGCCATGCTAGCACAAAAACTCCTACCACAGAGCGGTTTTACTGCTGAGAGGAACAGAGAATGAGTCAGACATTGTTTTAGCAAAATTACATACAAACTGAATATTGATTCAGCTGGGTGCCATAATCCCAGCAATACAACAAGAATGTGTTTTGGCACCAAAGGAATTTTGATTTGTAGACATGCTTTTGGCTACGATTGTCTTGTCAAAATGCTGGTGGCCATTCATAGTCATGAAGGCATCACAATTATTTGTGCTGTCTGCTAACATCTCATTTTCGAGTGTCAATCATCTTACACACTTGCAATAAATTAAGGTCTACCCAGCACGTGTCGACCTTGACGCATGTTGACTGATGCATTCTGAGCACAGCCAATGCTTGAAACTTTGGCTTGTGTAGTTATTACTACACAGGGGTGGTAAGTGGCCTCTTTTTACACTCCCTGCTTCCACTGAGTTCAGATGATTTTAGAGGACACATAATGGGTCATCTGGTTGAGAATTTACTTCTGAGTCACGTTTGACATCTAAACAGGAACAACAAATCCAGGCAAATGGAAAAGTAGACTTTCATTACTAAGAAAAATATAACTGTCTTTACTTGATGATTGCTTCAAATGCTTGTGAAATCACAAGTTAACATCATACTACACTGCCCTCTTCTGTTTCAGGAGGATCCTGTCATCTTTAGGACAATGATATCTGAAAAATATCTGAAGGTAGAGTACTTGATGTTTTAAGATGGAGAGAAAGATGGGAGAATCATATCACCAATATAAGTGCACACAAGTATTTGCTATATTTTATGACTACATTAATGTCAAGTTTGTAGTAAAGAGGTTTTGAAAAGATTTGCGTCATAAATCATAAACTATAATAAAATAACTTCCTGAGGAATAAATCTGACTCAGTATGCAAAGTTATTTTGTGAAAACATCGTTTAACATGATTGAAGTTAAATTTTATATAACTTCAATCAACCACCTGAAACCTTGCAATTTTTTTTCTATCAAAATTCCTCTTCTGTTCCTGTTGTTCTGTTTTATCTACTCTGTTTACCATACTCATCTTTATACATCTCCATTAGATATTATCCGTTAAATTTTGTACATCAGTGCCAATTTAGGCAGGTTCATTAATGAGTTAAGCTATGCCCTCTACAGGATGTCCCTGGTAGTGACATATTTCTGACACATTTCTTTATGCCAGCGGCCAAGTTAAAAGTATGCCAGTAAATACATTTAACTCTTACTAGTGTTCATATTCTGTGCCTTCACAACATGGTTTGAGTTCATTTTGACCTAGGCTAAAAACTCCCCCTGTCAAATCCCCTCAAATTTTGAGCTACAGATCTGTTTAGGATGTTTATAAAGCCGTGTCTGTGTATATAATAAATGGATGATTAATCTTTAATGGTTTCAAGAGCAGCGGAATTTTTTTTTAAAGGTTTTACAATCACTTTTAGACAAAGCAACTATTGTCACACAATAATTACTATAATTTTAATCTAACTTATTTAAGAATAAATGGAGGAAAGACCCTGCTGTTATTTAACTAAAAAAAAAAAAATCACCTCACCGTGATGTGATGGTGCTAACTACTCTACTACCATACCACCCTTTTTCAGGTCACATCTCTGGGTCAAGACACCCTCCAACCTCTGTATGACCTCTGTTGCATATAAGCAACACTGTTTGTAGATTCACCCATGACCCTTGTAAGACCAGCAGATGTCTCTGCAGGAACCCATTGGAAAAAAAAGTTTCAAGATTCATCTAAAGTCTTAATTTTCTTCATTTAACACTGACTGGATCTGAAAAGCTTTCAAATAGATGCTGGTTAAATTTGACCCAGAATAGTCTCATTTCGGGCTGAAAGAATAACAGAGTTTCTGCTGCTGTCAAATATCAAAACAGGTTAAACCTGACCCAAACACAATGTGTTAACTGTCTTCACTGAGGACAAACTTGCTTGACCACTTTTTGCATGTATGTCATTGACTGACACATATGTGCACTGACATTAATGAATAAATCCACAAACTCAGTAGATGCAACAAATATCTGTGCATAAATTACAGTATATTCTATTGAGTTTTTGGGTAAATTCAACTTAATTCAAATCAGTTTTATTTATATAGCCTTGAAACACAGGACTTAGCAGTCCTTTGTCATGGGTCACTCATTTGAGACTAATAAACACCACATTTCAGCTGGGTATGAAGTTTGGAAAGACATTTTGGAAAGAATTAATGACCATTTGATGGTACTGATTGGGAGTGATTGTTAAAATACATACAATCAGTGTAAGTTGAAAATTGTAAATATCAGTGTATCATCATACATTATGTTTTTTGCACAATTTTGTCATCTAATGCCATCTAACTTTTAAGGTACAGCAGCCTCAAGACCTAATACAGTTAAACATGTAATTAGTTGTCATGAAATTATATATAAGCTATAATAAAATTACTTTTCAAACCAGTCCTAAAAGTGTTTATTTTAAAGTTAGGAGTCTAAAAAAAATTGGAAGCCAGCCCTCAGAGGTCTTAAAACAAGCAGTTTTTGATACTTAATTTCGACCTTAGTGTTATTAGCATCAGAAGTGACTGCCTGTTTAATTCATATCCTGTGCCATAAATACACAGCAGTCAGTTCTATCACACCAAAACACCTAAAAATCCGAGAAAACTAAGCATTGTAGGATTTCATTTGTGGTCCCTGGTCCACTTAAAAATAAAGAAAGTCTTGAGGAAAGAGGAATTTGGAGTAAAGTTCACTCTATTAGTACGAGAAGTCTACTTTTCTGTAATAGTTATTGTAGGTAAGAATTGTTGAGGTTCAAAAAGGAGACAGGTGGCTTAATAAACCTTACAAACACTAATAATTTGTTTTAAAAAATGTATTTCATATTTACTTTCAAAGGATTATATTTAAAAATCCAACTTTTCATCAAAATAACTTAATAGTTTTACGAGACTTGTTTATGATTTTCAAAAAACATTATTCAGCATTTCGATTTAAAAAAATACTTTTGAATTAAATGTAAGCATCTCTTAATGAATAATTGTAGCTAAAAACTTACAAAGCACCATTAGCATGGCAGATATATTTTCCTTATATTGGAAACATTGCTACACTTTGTTCATTAAATGCTGCTTTCCTTTTCTACTTAAAATTTTTGCTGTCAATAATTCGAGGCTATTTCTTATGTGCTCTTGTATCATCACAAATGTATTCTCAATGTGGGGCCATCTATCAATATGGAATCCAGTAATAGGGTATATTATCTAAAAGATAAACTATAAACTAATACTTTTTAATATTACCATTATGAAGACAAATATATCTGAAAGGAAGAACCCTCTGCAGGTTGTAACTTGTAGGACTGGCTCAGCAAGACAACCAACCCAGAGACTGACAGAAACTGGGAGTGTACGGGTTTCCCAGTATGGTGGTGATAACTGCACAGCGCACTGTCAAAATGAGTCTTTGCATTTGTCATGAGGCTCCACCTGCACTGCCATATACAAGTGTTTTAACAGTTTGCTCAAACGTTTAATGTTAAACTTAGTGTATATTTTTAATATATCATTTGCAAGTATGTGTGGTTTTTTAAGTTCTATCATCTCATTTTGTCTGCAAAAATAAATAAACCAAGGTCAAGTTCATATTAAATGTACCATTTCGACTTTCTTTTTTGGACAAATGCAGACAAACTAAACAATCCTGAGATCGGGGTTGAATGTGCAGCTTGGCTTTGCGCACAAAGGTATTTGCTGCTGCTTGGAAACAGGGTGTTGAACAACAAACAGGGTAACACAACTAAAGTTAGCAGCTCTAACAGCAAAGTGATTGTTTTCTTCAGCTTTTTAACAGTTCAATTACGTTACTGTGTCCACTTTTATTGGATTTACCATCTATGGGCTGTGATATGTGGTTCTCCAGCAGGTTGAACACGTCAGACAAGATTGCAGAACAAAAGGTTTCACTGTTTGAGGCTTCCTAAGATAAACACTTGCTTGGCGATTCTCAGTAAAGGACAAGTCACGTGTATAAACTTTTCCAAAGAATCAAGGAAGGAAACTGATAACATCTTAAAAATCCTCACTCCAACTAAAGCACATCACTCCATTTTCAGTAATTCTGGATACTGAATACAGCCAATCGCGTGTCTTTCTTTAAATGTCAGTAAATTACTCAATTCTTTGACCGAGGCATGCGGATCGCTGGGCTACATCAGTACAATCCAGGGAAAAACCGAAGCTGTCACTGCGAGTAAAACAAACAAAGACAGCAGGCAGAACAACCATCCCGTTGTCGTGCAAATCCTACGCCTGCGCTGGGGGCGAGCCACAGATATTACAACACCGGGCGCATCTCCTTCAGCCATGGGTCGCCCTTGGGCGCTTATGATGAATATCTGGGATCCCTTTTGGCAGGGGCTGATCCGCTTCTGTCGGCGAGCTCGCTGAGAAAAGCCTCTAAAGCAGCGAGTGATACAGTAAACTTCACTCCGTAAACTGTCTCCTGAGGCGCGCCGTGCGCTCTGCTGCTGTCCCACCGGCAAAGGGAGAGGCACCTTCAGGGTCTGCCGCTCTTTCGGATCATTATCGGCTTCGAGTGAGTTCAGCGCTTTATTTTGTTTTTCGATGAATGTAAGATGTCGGCAGATCGGGCAAACGATCGTGTTTCTGATATTTCCATCGCTGTTGATGGTCACCAGCGTTTTGACGAGACAATCGTGGCAGAAAACATGTCCGCAGCTTAAAGTTCGTTCGGTCCCAGAAAGATACTCGTAACATATCGGGCATTCTGGTCCGTCGTCCTGGCTTTCGTCCTTATAGAGTGCCATACTTCCAGTGTGAACTTAATACAGAGAGCATGAAAAGATAGACTGTTTACCCGTTGAGGGAAAGCTCCAAGTTCTTTCTCTTCGATACAACTCTCTTACTTTTAACTGTGGGTGGAGCAGAGGCGAGCATAAACGTGTGGCACAGGGTGGCAGTAATCCTTGAATGGTCTTACCTCCTGGGTAGGTCTTACTTTCAAACTTGTCCTGCCTTTCTCCAAAACTTAATTAGCTCTGACTGGATCTATTCTCTCAAGAATATTTTTCTTCATTTTCATTGTTCAATGATAAAAGCATCAAGATATTTCATCATAGTTTTTGCGCAATCCTTTTTATTCGATTATCATGTTGTTTTTGTCAGGTTGTTTGCAAAAACTATGCAAGGAAAGTTATTGGTTAACAAAATTAGTACACAGCAAATTCAAAAGTGTTAAATGTATTGGTGTTAGTAGTCTTCTTGCAAAAGTAGAGTTAATTTTACTCTAAGTAGAGTCACATTCTTTTAATGTAACTCTGAGGTGTAAAATGATAGTAGTTAAAACCGAGTGTTAAAAATGAGTGTTTCTATGTCAAATCTGGAGGTGTTAAAATGGAAACATTAACTCTTGACCTCTTAACTCCGAACTCCTAGAGGGGCTATGACCAGAGGTGGGTCGAGTATCCAAAAATTGTACTCAAGTAAGAGTAGCATTACTTTAAAATATTATTACCCAAGTAAAAGTGAAAAGTAGTCGTCAAAAAAGTTACTCGAGTAAGAGTAAAAAAAGTACTTGGTGAAAAGACTACTCAAGTAGCGAGTAACTGTTTGAAATGTCCGATTTATTTTATAAATAAATGCTATCAGACAAACAAAAATATACAAATTTTAGTATTTTCAAAAGGAATATATGTAAAAAGATCCACAAAATAAGGCACAACAATTCTAATTTCAAGATTTCAGATTTTCACAACATTTTTCAAACAGGCTTTTTTCACCAATACCTACAGTAAGTAATATATAAACAGTACAAACAATTTCCAATGACAATATATGCTGTAAACTTTAGATTCATTTTTGCTCCAAATGGCACAGCAGCTTCAGAGAAAACAGAACGAGGCATCTTCAACATATGTACATACAAGGCAGCTCAGTTTACCATAAATTGTATAAGTGTGCATTTTTTTCTGCATATTTAGCAAAAATGTGCCCTTTCTTCACTCGGTGAGGTGATGGTTAAGCTTCAGCAGCAGTTTGCTCTCAAGGTGCATACACATAAGGTAAATGTACACCAATATTCCAATGACAGGTGTGTGATTCATATCGAAGTTATGTGCGGATTAGTGTACAATGATAGAAATTTAGTATGTTTTTAGAGGCCCGTGTGCAGTGTTGGTGCCCAGTCTGGAATTGTTACATCCATTTCACATGCTAGTTTGCCTGCAATAATGTATATAAAAATGTATATAAAAATTGGTGTATTTCAAAAATAAAACTATGAAGATATTCAAAATAAATTTCCTGTGGTGGGAAACTATTTTGTGCAACTTTTTTGTATTTACAGTTTTGAGGCATAAGCCTCTTAAATTTCTCTAACTAGAAATATATGTTAAAAAATCAAAAGCGATTTTCTTTTTTTTTCTTTTTTTTTAAGCTTATTGCACTTTTTTGCAATTTATGTAATTACTATGCACTTAATGCATACATATTATTAAAATTTGGGCTATAATGGTTGTATTTTTTATTTATTTATTTTTTTTTGCCTGTCCCGTTTGGCTCTTTTGCCATCAGAATTGTTGTCTAAAGGCAAAGAAAGATGCCCAACGGATTTACTTTACCAAACTGACCATCCCAGCCTTGCCATAATGGTCCATTTGATTCACCTTTTATTGTTTATTTTATTTTCACTTACTGAATATGGGACAGACTTGACTGGGGGAAAGAAGGGGAGAAAGAAAGAGGGAAAGAGAAACAGCTGAGAAGAGGGACGGGGGAGAAGGGCAAAAACCAAAAACCAACAGAATGAGCAGAAAAAGAAAAAAAAAGAAGAAAAAAAAAAAAAAATGCATATATCAATCACCTGGGTCACCTGCTGAGAAAGAAAAAAGAAAACAAGCAGAAGAGAACAAGAGTAATAGAATAAACAACATCACAATGATATATGGGAATATGACAGTAAATACTAAATATTAAACATTATTGTGCAGCACATAAGATCAACAGAACACAGTGTGCTTTGAGGTAGGAGCCAAAAAGGGTGTAGTTTGTGGGTGTGATCACCCGTGTGTACACCTGTGAGCATGGACGCGCTTGTTTTTTTGTTTTTTAAAAGGTTCCTTCATGTAATGATCTGCTAGAGGGTGTGGGGGGGCCACAGCCCCGTCCTCCAGGGCATGAAGCAGGTATGGAGGAGATCAAAACTCCAGACATCCAGAGGCCCCCAGAACACAAGAGACCAAGGAAGACCAACAGAGGGGCAGCCGCGCCACTGTCCCAGAAAGAGCTGAGGAGAGTCCCAGATGAGGGCTCACTCAGCAGCCGCGGAGCAGAAGCCAGGGGGAGTTGCAGTGACGCGCCCGTGAGCTCCGCCGGCAGCCAGCCGTGCCTGAGTGACCGAGCCCCAGGCCGAGAGGCCGGGGGCACCCCACCTCCGAAGTGGCCCGAGCAAGCCCCAGGCTCCAGGCCCCGATAAGCGGCCGCCAAGGAGTGAGCCGGTGTGTACCTGGACGCCCATCCCCGGACACAAAGAACCACCAACGCACCGATGTCTGAGGGAGTCCGCCACTGGCAGGGGAAGTGGTGGTAGGGGGAGATAGGCCTCCATACCTTGGAGGGCCTAAGATGTCCCCAGAGAGGTGGCGCCTGACACCCAACCTGACATATAGACACAGAAATACAGGCACACACATATACAAACATCCATTCCCACCCTCATGCTCTCATATACACTTACTCCACACTCAACCAACGTGGAGACAGACATAAAGAGACGCTGTACACACGATCACACTCCCCAAGCGTACTCTAAGCCCCGGGTCTAGGTACCCTTGCCCCTGGAGGGGGGGAACTGCACCCAGACCCAGGTGGTGTTACCCTTTTCCCTGCGGTGGGGGGAGGCAGACCGCCCCGACTCCGCAGCAGCAGGGAGGCCCCACACTCCAGACCGCAGTCGGACAGCCAACTCCTCCTCCTAGCCCCCCCGCTCCAGCAGGTCGCAGAGAATGTAGAGAAGCAACTTGGAATGCTCCCACAAATGGCACTACAACATGTAAAAATATAATATAAGCTCTAAGGTTCACAGGAACAGTTTAATTAGACACACGTTTAGCATTTTTCTTTATATTCTTGTTTCCATCACTGACTAGGGATGGGTATCGTTTAGGTTTTATCCGATACCGGTGCCAAACCGGTACTTTTGAAACGGTGCCGGTGCTTAAAGAATGGAGAACACAAAATTGGTCCAAAAACCTCTCATGTTCAGCTGTTTTTTTGTAAAAAGATAACAATGTTAGCCTTTTCTGCAGCTATGGGGCATATATGGTATCACTCTTGGCTGGAAGCAGTGCTTAAACAATGGAAAAAACACAAACTTTGTCCAAAAACCTCTCATGTTTAACTGTTTTCCACTTTTTCTTTGGTCATTTTAGCCTTTTTGGCCAGGGTGAAGGGAGTATCTGCCATCAAACAAGAAGACAGCCGCATGTAGCTATGATGATGTTTGCTAGTTCACCTTACATGCATTAATGTAATAACGTGGTTAGCCTACTCAACGTAAATTACACACGAACAACATTAAGCTACTCACGCAGAGAAGAACGGCTGCTGCTGCATCATCATCCGTCATCATTTCTGCTACACTGGCAGGGCTAGGGGCCAGGACTCTCCTCTTCGTGTTTTTGGGGGATGTTGCTAACTCCGGGTCCGATAACAGGCAACCCACCCGCAGTAGATGCGCTCGGTGTGAGGTCTCGCAGCAAGCTATCAAATACGGCGCATTTCTCGGCTTTTAAAAAAAACGCTATGCGTCGCCAGGTGTTTCATCGGATTTGAGGTGTTACCTCCTTTGACAGTATCACAGTATCAGCTTAAAGCACTTGTTGCAGGCTGCTGAGTTTGCATATTTTGCTGTGAAGTACAGCCAGACTTTTGACCGCTTTGCCTTGGTCATTTTTAATCTGTAGCTCTGCTCTAAAAGAACGTACGTACCTGGCCCCGCCTGCTATCCTCGGAAACGTAAAATGATTGGCTAGAATCTAAAGTGTATCACAGCTCAGGAAAAAAAAGCACCGAAATGTGCGCTGCTTTTCGGTCTGGTTACTACCGTTTATGTCAGAACTGGTACTGGTACCCATCCCTATCACTGACATGTTCAATATGATTACTATCAAAGGAGAAAATAAACCCTGTGTAGTTTAAAAAAAAACTTTAATTTAATCAAACTGAAATGTTGCCGAACTCTGATGGACATGTCTTTTAATCTTGTCAACAAAATCCGTAATCATCTAAAGCTGCCATTTATCATCTTGTAAAATGTTCCCTCTGCTTCTGTTGCACATCTCCCCCGACACTCTCTTCTTCACCTGTCATGTGCAGCTGGTCCAACCCCTGCATGCCTCCTTAAACTGGTGTGTTTAAATCTCTTTACCCCTGTTGTGAACTTTACACAAAGTTTGTGGTAACAAAATCAAACTGATGAAGATCTCCTTTGAAAAACACACTCATGAGACAAAATAAAATCAGACTTCTCAAAGTAAAAGCAGAGACCTCAAAGCTGGTAGTACAAAACACAGTGACAACGTGCGTATTAGATACCCTCACTCCAAAAGCATAAATATAAAAAAAAAAAAAAAAATGAATCTCCAAGAATATCATCCTAAGAAATGGCACTGAGGGGGGTGTTACAGTGGAAAAAAGCAGCCATATTTTCATCAGAAAATGCTGAATTTTAGTAAAAACAATGCTCTGCAGTTTGATACTGTCATTACAGACAAAGCAGATGTTTAAAGCATTTGGACGCACATTTGAAATGCCATAAGTCTCCTTATCAACTGGAAATATTAAAGCCATAAAATGACTTTTGAGAGTGGATAAAAACTATTGAACAACAGCAATGTTGAGCCTGTTCCAAAATTTGAATGTACATGTGTTGAAGGTGCGGCTCTTGTTGAATTATT